AGTTCGCCCCCAAATTCAGCCTAACCCCTTCTGTCTTAACCACAACCCAGTCCCTTTGAGCAGACACTGCTGAAAGAACCTGGCTCCTATCTCAAACCACTTCAAGTCAAATAAAGCTCAGCACTACATAGCCAGTGAGCACAAGTGTTAGTAAAAAGGCAATGTTAACTGCAAAGTCAGGTTCACTTGTTGCTCTCAAACCAGAAGGTGCCAAAGGTACAAAGATGTCCGAGGAAAAGAAGGAATGTGACCAAACGTGGTATTTTTGCACCATATTAAGCCAGTTAAACAACTTGGGAAAGGCCAAAGACTGTCACTTACAGTTTCTATGATCTTCCCCTTTCAGTTGTTCAGCCTCTTAAATTTATTCTTCAAAAAATTCCTTGAATGTTTTGTACATGTTTCTGGTAAACACTACTTAAGAGGCAAACATAGGTTTACTTGGCTACAGGAAGGTTGCCTAGAGAATAACTTTTCCTGTCTACCATGCAATGCAGCCATGCTTATGATAAAGTAAATAAAATGTGAGTTAGGGCTATCACATACAAATATGTATGTATACCTACATGCCTTAGCATTTTTTTTTTCCAAGACAAAATAGCCTGGAAATCGTTCTAGTCCGTTCAGTATTTGAATGTCCAGCTTTCTTCCCAAAGTTACATTAGCTGTGCTTTTACAAGCTGGCTTGAAGCCTATTATTTGCTCTTTATGTTTCCAACCACTCTTGGCTTCCTTAGACTTTTTCCTCTGACTTAATTGGTATTTGTACTGCTCCTCCTAGCATTGAAAAACTCCATCTGTAAATTGGAATGATTTTTTAAGTGTTTTTTAGATCATTATTGAAAATATCTATTGCCATCAGACCTGTTGCAGAATACCACTGGAAGCACAGCTGTTGAATCATGATTTCCTTTGATAACTATTTTTGAGGTCTGTTGTTAATCAGGTTTTAATCCATTAGTTCATTCTTTCCTGGAGAATCACAAAGACACTTTTGTAATCAGAAAGAAAAGAAATTAAAAAAAATCAGAAACGCATCTATTGCTGTGGAGGCAGATTTCTATTTACTATTTGCAATCACATTTGCTGTCTCAGAAAAATAAAGCAATAGCAAATAATATATTGGAAAACAGATCAGATAAAGAACTGCTTGCCTTCTTAGCTCTACGCTCATCCACCCTGTGGCTATCAAATGCTGGACAGGAAGATTTCCATTTCCCCTTCTGTGACTTGGTTCCCAACCATCTGGGAAGTCAGGTCTTAGGGATTCCCTTAGCTTGCAGCCCAGATTTACTGAATATTCACTTGATTTTTAAGAATTTTTTTTTTCCTAAAAATTCTGTAAGCCTCCAACTTCAATTAAAGAAATTCTGAAGAGGATGCTAATAACAATAATATATATAAGACAAAATGGAGCCTGTTTTTTCCAAATGAAAATCATGCCAGGCTTTCTTGATATCTATTTCCTAAGTCAGCTGGCTCTGTACAGAAAAAAAGATTTCAAGAAAGCAAGGGTCTTGGAATATTATGGTACTTGCAAGAGTACTTGGGAGTGCTTTCCTCTCTGTAAACAGATTCACCAGCCACTGTGTTTCAAACCAAAGGGAACACAATCCTACTCTTGTAAGTAGGACTATCTCCATTTTAGGACACAGATTAATATCCTTGCTTGAAGGAACCACACGAACTTACAAGTTTGCTCCCATCTGGGATGAGCAATTTCCTATCTGGTTCTTTAGTTCCTGTTATTTTTGCCAGCATTATCCATTTCTATAATAACATTATTCTGAAGGCCTTTCTGGGAAGTTTCATACTCCATAACCAACCATTAAGACTTGATCAGACAGGAGGATTCTCCAACAACTTACCACTGATGTTAAAATAAATTGATAACAGTTCCCTAGGATATTCTATCTTTCCCACTGTCAGTGATTTCACTAATGTTTGTTGAAAATTAGCATCAATGAGCGTAAATATTCTAACCAATTGGAGCATTTAATCTCAAATTGTTATAAAACTTTATTTCCCCCATGAATCTTAATCTAACAAAACAAGCTACTTAGTTATAACACTACATGAAATGTTCCTTTATACCAAAATTCATTCCTCTTCAAAATGTGGGAAAACATTTAACTGAAACTACTGTGCTTTTTTTTCCTGCATCATCTTTACAATCTTACCCTTTCTACTTCCAAAATGATTACGGGGTTGCTACATACACATTATCTTGTTTCTACAACACAGAACACTTCCTTTGAATTGTGCTGGCTCCTACTAACTTAATTTAGAGAAAGTGCCAACATGTCAGGGAAAAATCTAATCTCCCACAATTCACAGCCAGTACGTGGTATCACGTGTTCTCCATTTCCTCTCTTCACTTTGTATTTACTTGTTTCAACTTCTGTTTGCCTCCTTCAGTGCCCCCGCAGAGCTGGCCAAAGTCATCCTCATTTTTGTTTCTGGAGTGCTATTCAGTTCATATTCTTTGAACTTGCAGCCATTATTGACATTCCTTTACATTCTTTCCCTCAGCTCTTAATTTACACTGCTCCATGCTGGAACAATCCAGTCCATAGAGAGCAGTCACCTGACAGCAGCAATTAAGTCATCATCTCTATAAGCTGTTCTGAAAGTAATGCCTCCTATTTCATTATGTTGGCCCACCACATCAGAGGCGGATGTTGGTGATGTGGCAGTAGAGGTTGAAACTTCTCACCATTTGTATGACAGATGGCAGCAGAAGGGGAGTCTGACACAATGCTGTCTGAAATGGAGATGCATACTGAATTCCTCCACGTAGAATAAATGGCACCCATTGATATTCATTGACCACTGCTGAACGTTTATGGAGATCAAACAGTGGATGTGAGCACAGTGAGGTGGTGGGAGGTGTGTTTCAGCAGTGGCAACAGACAGCAAGGTGAAAGACAAGCCGTGTTCCAGATGGCTATGCAGATGTTTCCTAGCCTGGCATGCAGACTATTGGTCATGGCTGGCAAAAATGCATCGCTAATGGTGGTGACTATGTTGTAAATTAGTGTTTTGTAGCTGAACATCTGCTTTATCAAATAGTGTTATTGTGCTCTTTGTTGTAGTTTCCATGGAGATAAATAGGAGGCATTATTTTTGGAACAATTTCGTAGAATTCTACAATAGTTACTACCTCTTGCTCAGTTCAGTACCTTCTGTGCCCGATTCTACTGATTTTAGATCGACTGAACTTCACTGCTGCCTGCATGATATCAGTACCATATTTTCCCCAGACTGAAGGTCCCCACAGTAACATTTGTTTATTTATTTATTGACTGTTACACTTTGTGCACAAGAAGTTATTCATGCTGACCACTGATACAATCTGTTGCTCTGTAGCACCCCAAGGAGAATTTCTTCCTTGGCCATGCTAGCATACTGACCCACATTTCAATGCAGAGCTGATAGTATCTGTATTAAACGTACGGGTTTCCTTCAGATGAGGAGTAGCGTTTCAAGCCTGTTACAGCCCCTATACACAAAACAGGCAGAAAACAGGTCTACCTTCACTCCTGACTGCACAGATTAATGAGCTAACCTCCCACTTCCACCAGCCTATGCTTTACAACTTGAAGTGCATTAGACTGAGAAAACATTTCTTCCACTCAAAAAACAATTAACTGCAGTCTGTGACATTCAAAGCACGGAGAGGACTAGTTGGCCTTTTTATTTACTTGTAGAAAAACTGAATCATCTTTTGATTCCCTGCTGTAACGCTGATGAGAGCCTTCTGGACAAGAAGCTATCAAACTAGTGCAAACTGCTGCCCCTAAGTATCTAGCTCAGCTCAGTAGCTAAGTTTCTGCCCAGATTCTTACCCGTTTGCTACTTGCCTGCATGTCTGTGCTTCGGCTTTGTTTTAAAAGCCCCACACAAAGAGCCCCGTGCTGTCAGCAGTACAGAAAGACAGCCCGTGCTGCAGAAGTTGCTGTAAATAGTGTAAGCCATCCAGATAGACAAAAGCAGATTTTAAGCTAGAAAATGTTTCTGCCAAACGTTGTGCCACTAGCGCTGCTGTGCTTCATGCTACGCGCAACAAAGCGGCTGATTACAAAAGGCAAGCCCTGGGACAAGAGTTCAAATCAATAACTATGCAATAAGCATCTTCAGCTAACCGCTGCCTGGGGCTGCAGTAAGGCGAGAAGGCTTCTCGGAGGGGAATCCTCCTCTTCCTCCCTCTCCCGAACCGGTTCTCGCTCTGAGCCCGAGCCCAGAGAGCCCCCAGCACAGCACAGCGATTCTCCCCACCTCCGAGCTAGCGCCTTCCACCACCTTTAGGCTTTTTCTGGCTTCCAGCGCCCTTCCCCGCGCCGCGAAGCTCGCTGCGAGCAGCGCCAGGCTGCACCAGGGAGCCCCCGCCGGCCCCGCCGCCTCTTCCCCCGCAGCGCCAGGAAGGGAATCCTCCGCACTGACGGAGCCAAACTTCTGCAAAGCGCAGGCACGCGCCGCTCGGCTGTGCCTCCGGGGGTCCCCCGCCCGCCCACGGCCAGCCCGGAGGACCCCGCGCAGCCTCCGGGGCAGGAGGGAGGGAAGGCAGGCAGGCGGGGACGCCGCAGCCCGCTCTCGGCTGGCAAACGTGCACGAGCTCGTCGAGCGCAGCCTCCTCCAGCGCGATGCCGGCACGGAGCTGCCTGCCTCCCGCAGCGCCGCTTCCAGCGCCCACAGGACGCTCCGTCCTTACCCTTTGGCTCGTCCATCAGTGCCGGTGCTCGCTCCCTCCTCCCCGTCTCTCTCTTTCCCTCTTCCTTTCTCAGCCTCTACCGGCTCTGAGCCGCCTTAGCGAGAGGTGCTCATGTGAAAATGGGCGCTACAGTGGTCCATAGCAGTGGGAGGGGTTAGTTTACACGGCACAATCTCTCTGACTCGGAGGCTGATCTCCCGCTCTTCTCACAGCGGGGGTTTCCTCGCAGCCACCCCGCTATCGCTGCCGCGGGGTCCCCCGCCGGTCAGAGGGTCCCGATGGTGCCTACCTGCGGGGGCTGCGCTCTGAAGCAGGATCGCATCGCTGGCTCCGAGAGGGGATGAGGTCATTTTGGCTGCCGAAAGAAAGCGTTATGTCAGTCTTTCAGGTCATGGAGCACTGAGCAGATTTTGCTTTGTAGAAGTGAGGTGCACGGAGAGAACCGTCCCGTGCTGAGAGACCCACCTTTGCGTGTGAGCTTGCGGCAAGAGGAGACTTGCAATAGTTCCTAGTCACCTGCTGTGCCTGCACCTTAGAAAGAGCTCACACCTCTATGCACACCCTGGGGAGCTTCAGTAAGGAGCCAGTTATCAGTTACCTGCTGGGAAGCCTCAAGGGACCCCACCGACCTGCTGCCCACCTCTTGCCCAAATGAAAAACATGGGCTGGCACCAGATAGGTCTCAGCTCCTCATGTTTAGGCCCTTTCCTGACAACCCATCTTGGGCCCCCAACCCCACTTTGGGCATAACAGCCCCTCATGCCAAAGGGAGTTGCCATCTGCCCCAGCTGCCCCCGCTTTTTCACTTCCTCCTCAAGGAATGGCAGCTCCCCAAGGCTCTTCCTGTCCTTGTGTGTTTCCCTGCTGACTGCTCAGAGGGTACAGGCATCAGGGCACAGTCCACCACTACCACTGTGCCTTTACTGGTTCCTGCTCCTCTGGAGCTTTGCTTTGACTGACTCTCCTTCCTGCTCCTTGGCTGTGACATGTGGACATGCTGCCCTGCCCAGCTGCCCACCACCAGCTTCTAGAGAGCTTCTTCTGAGAGGAGAGACAGGAGGTGCTGGGCCCTGCAGGCTGCTGCTGGGGCTTGGAGAGCCGCGGATGGGCACAGACCTTCACAGCCCCTCTAATCCTCTTGCCTTTGGGCAGCCTTCTGACTGCAGGCCACAAGCTAGCACTAAGGAACAGCAGGCTCTGTGCCAGTCATTTTCATTAAGAAAACAACACAAGAAAGCAGTCCTAGAGTCAGGCATTTGTGCTCAGATAAGTTTGCAGACAGTGTGAGGAGGAAGCTTGAAAACAGAAATAAAAAAGAGGAAACCAAGAGATCAGGATGTAATTTCCACACATCTTGAGCAGGGGTTAAGTATAGCAAAGCAAGAGATGAGTGCCACTCTTCTGTTCCTCTGTCATAACACAAGTATCCTGTGCAATTCTGGAGGAACAAAACACATCTTAAATACCCATCTTCTTCCCAGCCACACTAAGATCTTAGTCTTAGCTATCTCTACATTTAAACAAGCGTATGTATCTAAAAACACTGAATATCTTCATAGATGTCTCAAGTTTGCTGTGTTAAAGATGAGCTATACTGCCTTTGGGACTCAAAAGGAGTAAAAGTGAGCTCTGGGACACTTTGGCTCAGTTTCCAGCAGGAAACAGAAGGAACCATCACTGACACTGGAATCCCATTTTAGGATGGGAGAACAACACAACCATAGGAAAGAAAAATCAGAGGCCTGGGAACAGATGTGCCAGCATTAGAAAGACAAGTAGCTTGTTTCTGCAGAAAGAACTGTTATGAAAAGATCTAAAATACTTCAGGCCGTCCCATCACCACTCAAGAACAGCACTCAAGTCCTTGTGCTTGTTTGCTTAGCCCTGGGGTATATATTTAGATGACAACATCCAAATGTTTTAGGAAGAGAGGAATGGCAGCTTCAAGAAAATCTGTGTAAACACTGGCCTTAACAGAGTTTGGCTGAACACCCCTCTGCTTTCCCAGGCTTCTAGTGTTGGTGTGCTGGTTCAACTCAGCACCAGCAGCTAAAGCAGCAGCCCTGGGAAGGAACACAGAAGGTACACAGCCCTCCACTCCCAGTATCTGTGAGTCAGACAGATAAGTAGTAAAGGTCTCCAGAAATACAGGAATGCTTTAAATTGGTGGGACCAGAGGGAGCAGAATTCCTTACAAAGAGAGGCCGTTTTGAGTGATTCAGGTGGCTTCCATTTGGAAAGAAAGGCAGAGAAGAGGAACAGAAAGGCAAACATCCAAAAACACTGCATGTGCCAAAAGGTATGTCCCTCCTTATCCCTCTCTGCTTTGAGACTTCTTGGCTCACACATCCCATGTTGCAATCACCCCAGACACGGCAGTTTTCACAACACATAGATCAAGTCCTCCTCACATCGCCCTGGCAATAGGTAATGTCTGAATGCTTAATTTGGATACCCCAAACATCTCCTTTGTGAAGAGCAAATCTCTTGGATGACTTCTAAAGAGACAGACAAGAAGCAACAAGCTCTGTGATAAGTCACTATCTGCACTCAAATTTATTTTTAAAAAATGGAGGTAATGGAGAAAGGAAAAACTGCTTTTGTAATTTAAGTAAGAAGATAACATGACCTTCACCTACAAGCTCCTCAGCATTAGCTTTATGAAACACATAATTTATAGGGATGATGTGTCTTTCTTTTACTATAGTTCCTTGTCTTGGTTTAAATATCTGTAATCATCTTCTCAGAGGATATCACTGTGCTGTCACCTACACTCACAGATCTCATCACCCAGGACCTGTGTATCACCTTTAGGATAACACCTTTTCTACTGCATTTTTGTCTTCTATTTTTTAAAAAGCATCAGTAAGTATTACTGCTTCCTCTATCATCCAACTCTACATGTCTCTTTCATTTCTTTGCTGCTTCTTTCTCCAGGCCATATCTGTATTGCTGGTTCCTCTTCCATTTTAATGTAATTTCCTCAGTAATCCTGAAGCTATTTTTCTTTGAAGTGCAACACATAAAAATACCCAACTTGTTAAACACTGCCCTGTCATCTCCTTTTCTGACTGCATTCTTCTCCAGCCCTGTTCACATTCTGTAGCTTTTGCCCATTTCAACTTTTTGTGGTACGGGGATCATAGTGCTCAGACCTTACTTACCTGCCTACTGTTTGTGAGTGATGCCCATAATACTGATAATAGAGGAAGTGATGTTCATTGAAACTGGTGTTTAAAAAAAAAGAAAAAAAGAAAAAAAGAGTTCCTACATTTATATGTAGAACTCAGTCACTTTACTAATTAATTTGTTCATTATGTTTCTCTAAACAGCAAAGCTGTTTAATGCAAATTGTATTTACACCAAATAAGCAAAATAAGTTATCATCCTTATAGTTAAAAATCCATGAAGCTTCAGTAAAACATACAAAGAGATTTTCTCATGCAGCCTCTGGATAACAGAAGCAATATGATTGATGAGCACTGAAATATTTTGAAGGTGCAGTACCAAAGGCCTGCTCTCTAACTGCCAACGTGGTTTACACATTCATCAGCAAATGATTTAACTCCAAGACAGGCCTGCAATACTATACTCTATAGGCTCATCATACCTTCAGTGCTGTTATATCATATGATTAGAGATCCAATCGCCACCTTTGTTTCACTTTACAAATCTACATAAAAGTAGTAAAAGTAAAAATAATTCATTTCATAAATTCTACAGCTTAATTAAAAAAAAAAAAAAGTGTTTGAAAATGTTAACATGACACAGGGTTCATTAAAACCCCATTAATGAACAGGGTCATTAGTTGCAACGAAACAGTTGCTCTTTCTGCTCAGGTTATTTAATACACCTGATTTTACCCATGTCAGCTGTAAATGTTCTGAACTGAACTACAGAGCAATTTACTTGTATATATATATATACTTTAATAAAAACCATCATGGTCCCAGACAACACTGGCAGCATCCTGGCCTATAAGTCTGCTTCTCAAACCATTAACCATCATATTAATACAAGGTATCAGAATTCCCCTACTGGCAACTGAGCTATTGCTTTCTCTTTGAGATAATCAGGCATGAAGTAATATCACTGATTTTGAGCAAATACGCTTGTGCTGGGACATTCCTGAATAGTTAGATCTCTTATTCTCAACGTTTGCATCTTTTAGTATCTTCCTATTGTTTTATCTGACAGAAGTAGCAGACAATCTGATAAAATGAAGGCAAAAACCTTCCAATGTTCCCACAGGAGGGAGCTCTCTTTGGCCACGTGTGACATCGCTCTCAGGAACCATCACCAACTGCCTTAATTTCCTAAGTCTCTCTTTTGATAGCATTAGGCCAGTAACACCTTGAAGAAAGGATGTCTGTGAAGTGAAATCAGTAAAACTTAAACAGAGTAAGAAATTAACAACAACAACAAAAATTCTCAAAGGCCCAAGAATATAGACCAAGAAAAAGAAAAAAAGAGTGAATCAGGAGTCAGTAGTAAATACATAATGAATAGATATAGGAAGACAGTGAACATTAGTTGCCCTGTTTAGCATGTAGAACTTCACAATACCTCCAAAACATCAACTGCAGAGTGAAACTAAGGAAAGTAAACTAGCAGTGGCATTCATGTGTTGAATAATTACTATCTTAAGATAGAAGAAAGAAAATAGTCTTCTTATCTGCTCCTCTGTGTGATTTCATGACCAGACCTCAATTAAGATTTAATAAAACAAAGATTATCATGCTACACATTGGTAGCCAAGACAAAGATTAATATTAAAGTAACCCAAAGCACCTATTTTCAAAAATGAACCATGTATATTTAGATCAGATTAAGTCACTCAATTCCAGTATTTTTTTTTTTTTCAGATAAAAGTACACAGAATGCAGAAAACATGCATAAAATGAAAAGGAATAACTTTAAGTTATTTTTTTTTTAATGTCTGAATTCAGCCTGACTACCCACTCACCCTCTGTTGAGTGATTTGTTCTTCATTAAGTGAGCATCTGCAGAGGAAGACCAGTTGTAGCACAGACACGTTGTCCATCAGATGTCACCCAGTCAACAGCCAAAGCAAAGTTGACTGCATCCATCCAGAAGGACTATCTGAAGAGTGTCATAAAGGGAGATACCATAAGAATCCTGACCATCTTTAATTTGCATATGTTTGTTAGCCATAAATATACCCACGATATATCAGCCCACCTGCTCTGCCATGTTCTAGAGGCAGAAAATATTCTTCTTTCCAACAGAGCTATTTAAAGTAGGCTTTGCAATGTGAAATCGGTAGGCATCAGTTTATGTTGGACCACTTACTACCTTATTCCAAAAGGGAATCACTAGATCTTCATAACTGTAGAACCTGCTGCCTTCTGTACACCTCACCTGATGGCAGTACGTCTGTTCTGAGTTACTGCATGATAGAACCACAGAGAAACTGTCTCTAGAAATGCGAGTTCTCAGATATTTTCAGTCATGCTTTCAGATTTGCACTGCGCTTTTTCTCCATGTGAATTTATATGTGCCTTGGATACAAATGTTTCAGTGTGGTCACCTTACTTAGTCTCTGGGAGGTTTCATGTCCTGTTTTCTTCAGTTTTGCACTTCAGCAGACCAATAAAAATAGGAAGGAAATGGACAGACTGCAAAGTAGCCCTGGATTTTAGAAAATGCCCCATCTTCTTTCACTGATGATGGGCAGTTATTACCTCCACAGGTACAAATACTTCATGTTTACATAACTTCTTAATCCCATTCCAATCCTCTTTGAATTACCAGAAAGAATTAAGTAGCTATTATGTTTAAAACAAGCAACTTTCTATGTACTTGCCTTGATTTACAGCTTTGGCAGAAAAAGGTTAAGGCTTGATGATTTCCAGCTGTGTGAAGCCTCAGCTTTAATCCTAAATTTACAGCCTAATTTGTAATTTTATGAACTACAGAATTTGTGCATATATACAAAGCAGAATCAATTCAGGGTCCAAAGACAAATGACAGAAATAGCTTTCTAGCCCTTCTATTTCTATTAGTTGTATCGGTTGATTTCCTTTTTATTCCTTATCACCAACTCCAAGTGATATCTGTTCCGTATCTAATTTATACCCACAATGAATGACCAGACCTGCCTCCTTACTAAATACACCTGTACCATTTCAAATCACGCTCACCTGTCTCTCCTTGAGCTGTCCTGTACACCCAAGCACAGCTTTTCTCATTCAGCATGCAGGAGGCATCACTCATCTCGTTTCTTCTATTAATACATCTCCCGCTGGGTATCCAGTTTAAATGGCCACGTGTATTGTCACCTTTCAAAACTTCCTGCACAACTCACTTTTAGGGATTTTGCCTCCCAAGTTTGGTACATTAACACAGTCAGTTAGAAATTACATTCAGCTCTCATGTGTAGGCACGACCTTATTTGTACAGTGCTGTTCTTACCCACGTGTGCTTTCTGTGCTTGGATGAAGAAACTAACCACCTGTGCAAATTCTGCTGGTGATATTTCCAGCCATTATTCCACCCTAAAACAGCAATTGCATTCAGCAAATAAAAAGCTCACGCTGTTGGGGTGACAGGACAGGTAGGTGGGTAGTGGCATTGCTGGAGCAGGGTCAAGCAGTACTGGCCAGGAAGGGATGTAGCACCACAGGCAAGGCAGCAGCTGCCACCTCCTGGCTCAGCTCTTGGTAGTGCTGCTGGAAGCAGCAGCAGAACGGCTGCTAGCATTCAAAAGCAGTCACTTGCAAGCAAACAGGAATTTATGGGGTTTAGTCCATTTCTTAAGAGACTTTTAAGTGAGAAAAACAATGGTAAAAACAACAAATAGTCCTAGTTTCAAGCCCATTAGGGAATATCAAATTTCACAATCTGAAATCTAGGTTTAAGTTTTAAGCTTCCTTCACTAAATGGATAACTGGTCTTTAAAGACCCTTCGGTCATCATGCAAAATTTCTCTCCCACAGCTTTCAGCTGAGAGAGTTGTTCTGGGAGTCCAGAATGGACTTCTTCCCTCCTCTTCTCTCTTACACAGCACAGACATCCCTGAACTCAGCTACGTCTGCTAGAATAACATTGCAGCACACAAAAAAATCAAGCATGCTAAAAATACATACTGTAGGTATAATCCTAATTATGCTTAGGTTAGAAAGATTTAGTAACCTTGGAGATAGAAAACAGTGTAGAAATGATATTTTTAGCATCAAGGAACTTCTCCAAGCAACAATACCACACAGTACAAAAATATACCAGGTCAGTACGCTTCAGAGATTTCAGATGTTTCATCCTCTTATGGGCTAAACCATAGTACTCTTCGACTATATTACTCTGAAATGTTTTGTTTTTTTTCTTTTCATACTTATGTTCCCCGTGAACAAAAAAAGCTATATAGGTGTGCAAGGATGTAAAAGAATTTTAAGCATTTCGTCATTACAAACTGAACCTAACTCCACAAAAACTGAGTTACCCACTTCATTTCCACTGTTTTCATACTGAATTTGCAATCTGAGAGCTGAAAATGCCAGTCTGAGTCTGGGTGGAGCGCAGCAATTTCTCAGGGGTTCCACACTGGTTGGTGTATACCTTATAGCTGAAAGCCATCAGGCTTCAGTCACAGGCACCAGCAGTCTCAGTTAAAGAATGCTGTTAGAAGAAAACCCCACATTAATTCTCCCCTCAGAATCATATTTGTGTGCTGACAGTACTCCCCATTCTCTCCTTGGTTTCTTCTATTATGAATGTGCCAAACTGGCCTGCTGGAGCAAGCACAGCAGCATGCCAGCCCTTCCTATCTCCTCACTGGATAGTGAGTGGAAGTGTGTCCGTGTGTTTACGTGGGACTGTACAAGGAAATGACTAAAAACTGTGTGAAAACTGTTAATAACAGCTTTGTTATATTAATAGCAGTTTATTTTCTCCTAAATAAAGTAGAACTCTTCTTGTGTTGCTTGAGATCTTTGCCCCTCCCTGGTTTGATGCCATGCTGGGGAGATAGGCAAGCGTCATGTAGTGTAACTTCTCTAAACGTGTATAGCAAATGAAATTGAGCTTGAACACTTAGTGACAAAGGCTATATATGAAAGCAGGTGCACTGAAGATCCATTAATAAGATTTACCAGATCAGCTTTATTTGTCATTGATATCCAATGCATATCCCTGAAGCTGTGCCACTGTACGCCGCCCCAGTAACTGGCACATGCTTTACCATAGGAAGGAAACAGAGTTTTAGACAGCCTGATTTAAATGCAGGCAAATTTAAGTATTTAACATAGGAACAATAGGGTTCTTTGTGGCAGGGAAAAATGTTTTTTCCTCCAAGTGCTGGCAGATCAGCCACAGCCTATTCGGCTTCTCTGTTGCTCTCAATGCTTTTCATTTTTTTATACTCTGTTTCAAAGAACAGTCTGGAATTGGGGGAAAAGTGTTACCTACCACTGTGACAGAGGCTTGCTTAGCATTATGAAATTGGAAAACGCATTTTCCCAAAGCACACTTTCATTTAAACTTACAAATCTCTTACAAAGCTCCCAGAATACCTGACGAGGGCTACAATGGAGCATACAAACACATGTACAGCCAACCTCAATGCATTGCTCTTTTCTCACATAGCTTTCCTTCACCACGCTCCCTTAGCATTCACTTTTTTTCTGTTTTTTAAATTTTCTATTGCTCCTGCTCCTTTCCTGTTTCTTGTTCTTTCTCCTATAACTACTCACTTCCTACTATACTTCATTTTCTCTAGTAAAAATATTTGTTCTTACTTTTACATTAGGCTTTTTCATCCACATTTTTCACATCTCTTTTATCTGGAGAAGACTTAGGGCAGCTGTCACGGTACAACTGGTGTGTTCTTATCTTTCAAAAATTCTAAATGATATGCTGCTAAACTATGCTTAAGCACGAAGGCTGGCTTTACTTTAGAATGGTGGTAATAACAACAACATTGCATGAAATTGTTCCCAGATGTAGCCTATAAGACTAAGTTAAAGATGACAGCATTTACAGTACTCTAATCAAAGCACTGCATGATTTATGTACTAGTCTATCATCACTGCTCTAAATGACTGCCTATAACTGAGATCTGGCAATCATTTTACATATATTAAACATACTTATCTCTTAAAACATAGTAATGATAGCAGTAAAGGACAGCAGTGACAAGCTGAAGATCTACTGCAGAATGTGCTCATTTGTAAGGACTGTTGTTTCTGTTTCTTATGCAGCAACATTTACGTACAAAAATTTGTTTAAAAGCTACTTGGATGAAAAGATGGTCACTGGCAGAAAGCTAACATTTAGACTCTTTATTTAATTTTTAGAATATTTGCCTGTGCTCTAATAACTGAACTTGTTCAAACTACAGAATATACTCTTCTGATTCTCATTAGTAATTAATTCTTTTGTTGAAAGAGACAGAACTGCAGCTGCTGATTTATTTCCTTTTTTTTTTTCACTCCTCCTTTTTAACTCCAAGGCATGAATCCTAAAATTCTGCAGATTGACCCTATTCCCAGCTGACTGCTCTGGGCACAGGAAAGGCAAAATGCAGTAATGCTGTATTTATTCTGAACATCTATTTTTTCCTTTTATGTATTTTTAAACACGCATCTGTACAAGTCTCCTGATAAAAGAATTCTGCTGGAATTCTTCCAGGCAATTTTCATCACCTCTTTCTAATGGAAGTTGGATATTTGTTATCCACTCCTCAACATCAATCTAATAAGGAGAGCTGACCACTACTGTCAATTTACAGGAGGGAAGGAAAAATCCCTTCACTAGTAATATCACCTCTCCAGACTCACCCTGTTCTGTTCAGCAATCTTTTACTTAGCTTCTTACTCCCATTTCAGTATCTCTTTCCATGCAGTTTTCTGTTTTTCATCCTCACAAACTTAGAAACCTAGCTATTCTTGATGAAACTTTCTTCCTTGAGCCCTTCCTTCAGTCACCCTTTGTATGGCAACTGCTGAGTCACGGCCTGAACCTCTGATTGATCACCTGAGGTGAGCCATGAGTCAGCCAGAGGAGCACAGGTGAAGGCAATTCACCTGTGCTACCGGAAGGGGTGGAGCCAGGCTCCACCCCTCCTGGACCTATTTAAGAGCTGGCTACCAGAGGGGAAGGATCTCTTCTGGAGATCCTCCTCTTTGATATCTTCTAGTGAGCTCAACCCAAGGGTAAGCCCTTCTACTTATTCTCTTTTGTGATCCTTGTTTGCCTTACTCTTTTTGATTATATTGCAATTATAACATCTTGGTTATACAGCTTTGCCTTACTCTTTTGATTATATTGCAATTATAACATCTTGGTTATACACCCTTTTAATAATGAAATCTGCAAAACTACCTTACCCTCCAGTGAGCTGTTAAGATGGCTTTAAAAAAAAAAGAAAACAAAGCAGAAGACAAGCAACAAAATAAACTGTCCAATACAAAATCTCAATGTCAGCAGCCTTAGGCATTGCATTGAATCCTGGTCTTACTCCCTCAACTGCAATTCAAGAGTCTGAGTTCAGGAGCAATTTGGGACTCCAGCCAGAATCCAACAAAAGAGTGAAAGAAGATCCGGTCACTCAGGCTAGAGCTGGAAACTTGAAACAAACAGCAGCCAAATCACCTCCACCATACAGGACACCAAGTGTGCTAATGTGCTTCTGTAGGGCTGCTGGAGAGCAAGCAGACTGAATGCAGGTAAATGTTCAAACTTTTAGAAGCTGTAATGTTCATTACAGTTCAGAGACCGACTATATAAAAATATTCATGCTACAACATTTGAGATTCTTTGCAAAAACTAAAAATCTGAGATCAAACTATGTTTTGATTGCCTGCTCTGTTAGTCTCTTAGTTCAGGGCATTTATTGACTTCAATTTCTCAACATGCTGAAATGATGCAGTGGAGTACTGGGATCTTCTGTTACAAGACAAAGGTCTGTACTCACGGCTTTCTCAGAGTGAGGAAGAGGTGAGATTATATTCAGTGACAGTGCACCCAGTGCAGTGCTTTCCTGGCTTGCCTGTATCTCCCTTGGTTGTCTACAGCCATTTCATGCCTCAGCACCACTAAAACACTCTGCTTTTATCACTTTTATTTGGGATTTGTGCTGCTTCTTAGGCACAAATATCCCTTCAGGATCCAAGCCATTCCCCAGGGAAACACAAATACAGACTTGCTTGAGGCAGAGCATGTGAGCATTGAAGAGTTAGCAGACAGACACAAATCATGGTTGCTGCTCTTTGGGTCTAATCCCAGGCTCGGCAGAGCACAGAGCAGCCCAGGAGCAGTTTGGTCAGCATCCTGGGGCAGCTCCATGCTAAACAAAAAAAAGCGTCCTGTCCTGAGGGCTGCCCCACAGGCTGTTGGTTGGCCAAGCAATCAGTGCATGGATCAGAAGGACAGGGAAAGATTAATCCAGACATATTTCCTGAGTTTGTGCCTTCTTCCAAAAGATGTCCTGTGTGAATAATGTTATCTGCATATTTTGATGCACAAATACTATCTGATATGTTCCTGCTGTAAATGCAAGTCCCGCGAGCAAGCAGCAAGAACTTCTTCCATGCTTGTCACCAGCCAGCACTAACGGAAGCATCGAGTAGTACACAGCACTCTTCTCCCTTTACACACAGTTTTGAGTTATATTTGGCCCTATGGGGTGGGCCAATGTCTGGAAAAACCAGACAGCTTCAGTGGTGAGATTGGAGTGAGAGTTTTTCTGAGGAAGTTAAGGAACAACCAAAACCATGGAAGCAGCAGTGGATGCTTCTCTGACCCCCTAGCAAATGAATGGAAAGTAATTTAAGAAGTATTTTCAAGAGTTTTACTGCAAATATGACCATCATTTCTTTAAGGAGTTGATGTAAAAATAAAACAGCTGACACTGTCACAGGTGAAATAACTTCCTATCCTATCCAAATTTAAGCAGCCATTAGCAGAAAACTTCCAAATAAAGCATTTATAAGAAGGGTAAAATGCAGTCTTTTCATATATTTAAAAAAAATATCATGGTAATTGAATGCTAACTTAACCACTGTGTGTGCAGCAGGATTTGCTTATTGTATGGTAACTGTTGAGTCACACCCTGAAGCACTGATTGAGCACTTGGGGAAAGGACCAGTCAGCCGTGGGAGCACAGGTGAAGGCAATTCCCCTGGAAGGGGTAGATTCTGGCTGCACCTCTCTTACACTTCATTTAAAGGCTAACTGTTTGGAGATACCTCTCTCGTGGAGTTTTTCCTATGAGTCTGGATCTTCAGAGATGGGTGAGCACTATTCCTTTGTAACCCTTCTATCTGTGCTGTTATACTCCTGTATTGCCCTTTTGCTGTTAACCTTTCCACTTATAACACTTATATATTTTTCTATTCAAAGCTGCTTTTTAATGTGCACCACAACAAATATTCTTTTCTCTTGATAAAGCAGTAAAATGGAATTATGATGCATTTACCTGGTGTTCATGCTGTAGAAACAGAAACTTCAGAGTTCATTCTGAGGGTCATTTAACCCATTCAGGCACCTTTGATAGCATGATTTTTTTTTTTTTTTTTTTTCCATTATGAAGGCTATAATAAGAATACTACAGATCAAATACAATGAAACAGCTTTATCTCCAGAGATTTTCATAAAGGGTTATTACAGAGATGCTGATTTAAAATGTTAAAGTGATTTTTGGGCACATCACCTAAAATCATAACCATTCTAAACACTAAATTTTTTATTTAAAATATTAAGGTATTTTACTAACATATTAGTTTAAATGACATAAGGCTTTATCAAAGCATTTTTTCCAGCAGAACTTAAGCCCCAACAAGTGAAGTTGATCTCGTGCCTGAGGCATCTGCAGTCCTCCAGCAGAGACCTCTCCCAGTGCAGTGACACCAGGTACAGTGCTGTCAGCACCACGGAGCGAAGGGGTTGGGGTCTTTGCTCAGAGAGGTGTCAGGCCCTGGCATTGCTGCCCAGAGAGCGATGGGTGCCCCATCCCTGCGGGTGCCCAATGCTGGGTCAGATGGCCCCTGGTCTGGTGAGGAGCACCCAGCCCACGGCAGGGAGTTGGAACTAGATACCTTTAAAGTCCCTTCCAGCCTATGCCTTCTGTGATTGTATAGTGTGTAAATGTAATAGTATTGCTAGGGGCGTTGTTTAAGGCTAAACAAATATGACTATGCACAAACACTTTTGACAGCTACCCAAGATCAATATTTGAACACAGCAGAACTGTTCAAGTAATACAGAGAGCTGATTAGCTAAGGAGATAGGTAAATAGCTACCAGGAAGTCCTTAATTATATAAATCTGCTGGCTGAAATAAGCTATTGACATGGATATAAAATATTAACTATAAACATAACTTAGTCAATACTGTAGATGCATTGCTCCACCTATTTTCACAATCAGCTCAGAGTTAAATGGTCGCTGCAGGTAGTTCTGCCGTTTTCAATAGGGGTGTGTAGTGATGTCTGTAATCACTGTGAGCCAGCAGGCCAGGATGAACACAGCAAGGAGAGCTGCTGAAGCAGAGCGGTTTCTGTTTCTGAGGATGATACCACACTGCCACCTTCAGCAGGAACAGCAAATCAACATTAATATGAGCATTTTCCTCCGTTCAAAAAAAGAAAGGCTAAAGTGATCTTGATTTTTGTTACAAGTGAGCATTAAACACACTTTCCATCCCCATGTACTGCTGGCATGAGCAGCATTTCGTTGTCATGAAATAAATAGATTAAGCACCTGTACCACTGAAGTTTGCCGTGTTCTGCTAAGGCTCCTTGAATATAGGAATAGCGGGGAAAGACAGGCTAAAGAGCAATGATACAGTGGTAATTATTCTTACTTACTAATTAAACTGGTTTGATGTGAATTTTTCACAGGTATACTGTGGTTGAAAGTAAGTCAGAACCAAGTAACTTGTCTTCTTCCCCCCTATAAGCATACAGAAATACACATCTACAAGAACCGATCTCATCTAGCACATACATGATTTAAAACATAACATTAAATGTTCTGTTGGCATACTTAATGTATGCTTTAGCTATCATATTCTCTGTACTTCTTGATATATAACCTTACTTTTATGGTAAGTCTTGTATCAGTTCAGCAGAATACACTCACCTTGGAATCTCTTGATTTCTTATTTGCTCAAGCCTGTACCAACAGATGAAGAGCTACAAAACTGCAATTTCAGAAATATTAAGGAGTAGCTTTTACTTATTTCACTCCCAGATCCTTTTCTCTGTATAGCCTGTGTTCTCTGATTCATTATTCATTTTCAGGGCACAAAACCGTATTTGTATAGATTCCCCTCCTGTCTGTGCTTATGCCTGCTTTTGTTCTGTTATGAATATCATAATTCATCAGTAAGACAGTCAGACACATAGCAAGGAGATAATGCAGGAAAAAAGCAACAACTTTTTTTCATCTGAACCCACCTTTTATTCTCGTATTTGTCAAACTGATCAGAAAAGTATGCCAGAGTGTGCATCCCTGGGCCAAACACAGGAGCTGAACTTCCATAATCTTGCTCCTCATAATTTAGGTACAGACAGCTCCTATCTTCCAGCTGTTTGCTGTCAGCCCAAACCCAACAGTAGAACATTTGGCCTAAAGATATTAGTTTTCCAGGTTCCTCCATTGATGGAGTATTGTAGTGTTATTCTTATGGTCTGGAAACTCGGTTGTAAGATCATTTGTGTATAGCATTGTTACATCATGGTGGGATGTGAATTCAGACAGAAGATTAATGCCTCAATTTGAACAACTACTAACAGGTAATTTCAATCTAAACTGCAAGCCTTTAATGGAATACATGTAAAAAACAGAAGGAAAATTAAGGACAGAAACAGTACCATAGAATAATAAGAAGAAAGCCCTAGGAGCCATTAAGGTTTTTTACCTTAAAAAAAAAAAAAAAAAAAGTATTTAGAATAAGCAGTCTAATATTAAAAATATACACAAAAAAGTGCTATTTTGAGGCTCTGACCACTGCAGTTCAATTTTTAGATGGCATCTTCTATGTTTTGCTGGTTTTAAGAATGCATATGCAGTTAAAGCTGTACTTTTCAAATGCATGAGTGATGAGGAGACAAGCACTGCATGTTGCAAGAACTGTTAATTTAGTAGACTTGAGCTAAATTATTTCCTTAGTAATTTAAAAGAGACCCTGAAGATAATTCTCTCCAATTTCATCAATTACTGTGTGATTTTGAATCAATGTGTCATCCAGGACCGCTGTAGATGTTGACTCACATTAACTTCCACAGAGCGATCCTTACATGTCACGTATATCTATAACTCCTTTTGAACTGCCTTTGGCATTTCCTGTTCTCAGAAGTAGTTTATTCATGTCTGATAGATCAGCCAGATGTGTATTTTGCTCTGGAAGTAATCCTCCTTATTTATCTCCATGGAAGCTACAGCAGATGCAAAGAGCACAATAACACTATTCTCAGCTACAAAACACTTTTTTCAACACCGTCACCACCATAAGTTATGCATTTTCACCGGTGATGAAATCTTGCTATAATCTGACAGCTTTACAAAGAGAAATTCCCAAACAAATAATGATGTGGCCATCATCTCCTTGAAGTGAGCTTGTAGAAAGTTTAACCTCACCAGTTATTGGCTTAAACACCATTAGTATTTCTACATAGTAAGAAATGAGCGGGCTCATACACACTGTATTTATAACACAGTAAAAAGGAAACCGTACATTTTGATAAATGTAAGGTTAGTAATTTAAGTAATATTTAGGATACTATTGTCTTGTTATTTTTCTCCTTGCATATGCTTATATTAAGCAAAAGTCCTGCAAGCAGTTGTTACAATCTCCGTGTTCATGGGTAAATGTTAAAGTAAATATCACTTAATTCTTCTTCTGTTTATACATAGATATTAGTCCTTAATAGCATATTAGCGTCTACACTGAAGGAGATAAATAGGAGGAAGATTACGGAGTAGTGCATAACCAACGTTAGAATTTGGCTCAGTTTCCCCAGTGTGCTTTTCAAACTTAAGAGAACGTTAGTGATAGGAACTTGTAAAAAATACTGTGTTAATAACTATGGAAGCAAAAATAAATTCCTCCTGTTTGTAAAGGAGAGGAACTTCTACATGGTCTCCCTAAAACTTTAGGTTTCTAATGTTGTGACATGCATTGATATACAGTACAGCAGCATAAATTAAACTGCAAACAGATAAGGCGCATGGTCACAGCACAGTGCAAACCTATTTGGGCTGGAAACAATTCTTTTCTGCGAAAGCGGCATTTCAATTATATATCATCAACTCCTTTCATCTTGCTCAGATCACATAGCAGGTAGGACTTGGGAAATGAATCTTTGATATATTAGTTTTTTGTCTTTTGCATGTCTTATGCATAGCTGATGATAAAAAGCAATGACATTTGAGAACACTGTTGGCTGTTTTAGGTAGACTGATCATGGAGTAGGTGAGAGCAGAAAGTGGCACTTTTTAGCCAGCTACTTTCATGAAGAGAAGGAAAGGTTCAGCTGTTGCTCCAGCTTCCCTCTGGGGAAGACAAGTCAATGATTTTACAGTGATTTGGCATCACCACTAGGGCTGCACAGCAGCAGTGCAGTGAACTTGTCTGGCTGGACACTCACTGCATGCCTGGTGCCTCTCAGCTCCTCCTATTCCTGCTTACAGTTGCAGCTTCCTAACCAAGCCCAAGTGCATTTATCATGGCCCACATAACAGCGATGCTAGAAAGGTCATGATGTATGACATCGTTAATAAACTATACAGCTCCCTGCAGTAATGGAGAAGGTGAAAATGGCACCTTGATGCACTTGCTTGAGGCTTTTTATTGATAGCTGAACAAGTACATTCTGCTCACAATTGAAAAGTGAGCATTTCAGGCTAGTGAGACAACCCATCAAGCCATGTCTTCTAAAACAGCAAGATACATCACAGCTGGAGGCTTACAAATTTCCGCTGTCCTACTAATAAAGTGGAAAATTGTATGTGATGCAAGGCTAGTACAAGCCTGCCTGTTCTCGGCAGAATCAGTTAATCTACCTAGCCTTTCAAGCACTGACAGCATTATACAAAGAAAATCAATCGCCTGAGATAACCAAATCCACTGTCTTCATCTCAGCTTTTTCACTTATTTCATATAATTCTGGAGTATTAACATTATTATGGGCATAATGGAAACATAAGTACTTCATTAAAGCCAGCACCTGGACATATGTAATGGCGTAGAAAGAGCTAACAAAGATGGGACAAATGCATCCTTACTGCTATGAATCAAGTGACAAGCGATACAAACAAAAATATGTGCTTCTCAAAACAGCCTCTAAGGAAACAATGGCTACAGGTGGAGGTGCCTTCCCCTTCCAGGGTGGCTTCACCCTGGGGTGCTTTGACACTGTGTGGGAAGACCTGAGCTTAACATCATACCAGAAAGCTGTGACCTGATCTGAAGGTGTTCAATGCAGCGTGCATCCTGACTGCACACAGCAGCATCTGCACTGCTCCAGACTGAAAGGCAGGGTAGTGGAGCCCCAGCATCAACACACTTTCATTTCAGCTTATGAGTAATCCTGCAAGAGGTCAGACCAACATTAAAGCAAGCCATTAAGCCTCACTGACTTCAGTGAAAGAAAGAGGTGAGAAGCTTGCTTGACAAGTCTTGACAAGCAAGAATTTATCAAGAGAAGAGAAATTTAATTCCTACGTGGATCTAAAAATGAGGAAAATATCCAATACTTACAAAAAATGATTGTATTTTGTGACTCTTGCTGCAGGTAAGCAAGAATTTGTTTTCTGAGACTGAGCTGCAAGATACAAAAGGTGACATGCATTCCTAAATTTGATCTACTTGTGTTTTACTACCCATATTTTCTCTGCAATAATCTGGGACGGTTGCAGAATATATTGCCCTGAGGTCACTGAGTAATCATAATCATTTCAGCGCAACTATTCATGCAGCCTGTATTAAGTATAAGAATTTGTATTTTCATGGGCAAACATTCCTATTGGAGTGTAGATTGTATCAAGTTTTAGAACACTGGCTCATCCTCTGCTACCCATAAAATATATAGTAATCAGAAGGCTTTTTTTCCTGCAGAATTCTAAAGCTGGAGAATGTTTTGTGGTGTTATTTGCATGTCTTCCATACGTTAGCTGGGACACTGTACAGTGAAATATAGTTACCCATAGTAGTTTCAAATAGATACTTCCCAAAAAAGCAGATGGGAATCCTCAACATTGGCATTACCTATCTCAATTTTTAATCAAGTAATATTCAAATTTCATATGCCAGCAGGTGTTTTTCTGACTTTTTGCTCAGCATTTAGCTTAGGTGCAAGATTGAATTATTTGATCTCACTTTCAGGTCCTCACCAAAACTGCTTTTATTCAGGACTGGCTTAGTAAGAATTCCAAACATTTGCTGTTGCATTAATATCTCCAGAATACTACCCACAAAATGTTACTATATAAGTAAAAATGGGAATATATTTTTGTTTATATTTTGTTGATATATTTGTTATTTTATGCATCAATATGATACTTAAATAGAAGTTATAACCTTTATAAATAAGCCCATATTTGTTACTGGGAATGCATTTCAAACAATTAAAATTTGATAGCTGATCAGAATTAATACATCTCAGGAATCCCAGGGATGCAGGGGTTCACTGTATTTTCCATTATTCTTAGGGTGCCAGCCGTTGGAAGTCATTACAGATTATAATGCTTTTTTAATCAGCACTGCAGATTACAAGAGGTCACCAAGGCAACAGTTTGTACTGAAAATCTCCCCCAAAACAACTTACCTGACGTAGGTGCAGAGGGCTAAATGCATGGAGTTAAAATGATTTCGTTCTGGGGACATCCAAATTTTGTGTGTTCTGTGAGTCTTTTCTGCAAGTCGTTCTCTGAAACCATTTCATTACTCTTTACCAGCCTGAGGATGAAGTCAGCTGATTTTCCCAGCTGATGAATGGCTCTATTCAAGGATTTGAGCTTGGGGTTAATAATTGAGCCGTCCTGCTCCAGGGCCAGCCTCAAGGGCAGGTGGCAGATTCCGTGCTTCAGAGGTCCTACTGCTGCAAAGGGAAGGGGCAGGAAATGGGAGCCAGAGGCACTCGGTAGAACCCTCATAATCCAGAGTTAGATTAAGCAACATAAGCTTTAGTTTTACATTAAGACTTTACTGACAAACTACTATTCCAAGTCAGGGGAACCAAATTCATTTTCAGCACTGTCATTTAGCTGCTTCTCTGCAGCAGAGAGTACTGCAATTGCTCATGGCCCAGCTGCTGTCCCAGGTGACCCGAAGTCCCAGTGACAGCCATCTTATGCTCTTCTGTGGAGAGAACAGTGCACCCTGCATAGAGTTTTTTTTTAATGCTTCTCAACTATCTTAATGGCTTGAAGACTTGAAATCCAGATGGGTGCTGTTTTCTGACTTTCTTAAAAGTGGATTACCTTTCAGATTTTTCCATTTGAGGACTATGAATGGTAATAGGCAATGCCACACTGCTGCTTTGAGTTTTCTGACAGATTTCCCATCTGTTTTAAATTATGACCTGCAGTTAGAGGGAACTTGAAATACATGTTAAGAAATAAGTAGGAAAATCCCTAGAATTTTCAGAATCTGATACTTTCCATTAGATATAATCTGTGCTCAGAGTACTAGTGGGAATAATAAACAAACATCAGCATTGTTTCTATGCCAGTTAGTAATAGAACCGTCTTTAAAGCTGTTTTCTCAGTTCCATTGCTGTGAAATGCCACATGGGACCAAACCTGCTGATTCTACTTGCAGCTGTTCTGTAAAAGAAGAAATCAGGGATTTTTTTTCTACTGGGGTTCAAGCTTTATGCCTGACTGATGAATGAAGGATAAGCGCTACACATGTTACAGTTCAACTGTGTTCAAACAAGAGATGTGAGGGGAAGCATCCCAGAGCAAGGACACGCAGCACGTATTCCTGACTTAATATCAGATCAGCATTCAGTATTTGGAGGGAATGTGGGATTTCATGTTTCTAATTTCTCCTGCCCACAGATGCAGTAATAAATAAAGGCTTCAGGCAATAACAGCGACAGAAAGGCACAAGACAGCAAGAAAATACGCTCCACTTTTTCAGAGATGTGCTTTTCTTTCTGGACCTCAGCCCTTGCTATAGCTTGGGGCAAGATTCCAGTGCTGCAGCAATGGAGCGTCAGAGCAGCCTCCTATAAGAAGGCATGGGTAATCATTTTGTAGATAAAGACACAACAGAGGACATATGCCTACTTCTACCATGAGGCTAGCACGTGCTAGAGAAAGGAAACAAACCTTGGATCCTTACTGCTAGAAACCAATGGACTGGACCTCTCAGAATTTGCCTTCCTCAACTGTCAACATCAAAAAGAAAAGCAGTGCCAGTGGTTGAAACCAAAGTTCATAGAATCATAGAATTGTTTGAGTTGGAGGGGATCCTTGTAGGCCATCTAGCCCAAATCCCCTGCAATGAACAGGGATATCTACAGCTCCATCACAGTGCTCAGAGCATGCTCCAGTCTGATCTTGAATATCTCCAGGGGAAAGAGCGTTCCTCTTCTGTCATCTCTCTCCTCTGCAGCTTGGACCAGCAGTTCCATATTTTGACACTGGTAATACTGACCTTGTCAGGAAGGATTTCTTTTGCTTTTCTTTATATCCTAACTGCAGGGAGTGCCTTCTGACAGTAAATATTAACCTGTCAGACATTACTTCCCCCAACACAGCCTGGTATAGGAATTGCATTTCCTTCATCTTGTGTTGTATGGAACAGCATTACTCCAAAGAATGCGATACTTTTGTGCACCTCCAATACATAGACAGATCCTGAGGAAAAAGGTCAGAAAGAAAAATAGTGCTAAAGCTAACGTTTTCCTTCCAATCTCTGCAGAGCAACTTGAACAATGTTACCCGGGAACATCCGGAACACCTGGATAGCATGGAAGTTTCTGGCCAAGGTGGCTGGGATGCAACTATTGCAAGCAGGAAGACAAGGCAATCAGTTTTATGAGAGCTTTGCTTCAGGTACATGACAAAAGAAGTACAATGGGAAGTGCCACTATTGATTTTTTTTCGGCAGACATCCTTCACCACTTCTCTCTACAGCACAGTCAACTCAAAGCCCATTGAGGGGAAAAGGAAAAAAAAAAAAAAGCATCGCTTACCCAAAGAAACTAAAAAAGGCAAGAATAAGCAAAGAAATGGCAGCAGCTGCTCAGTGGCACCCACGGGGCTTAGCCATCACGAGCAGGGGGGGCCCTCACTGCCCACCCTCACGCCCCCGGCCGGGGGCGGGCTCGAACCCGCGGTCCCGCAGTCGCCGGCCGGCTGCCAGGCTGTACGGAGGGAGGCAGCCCCGCACTTCGACCTCTGCCGCGGCTGTAGGTAGGTACGGCACCGCGCCTCGGGACATTGCCCAGCGCCGCTCCTGTCCTTCCCTTGTCGTGTCGTTCCTCCCCACTCTGCTCCATTGCTTTTTTTTTTTTTTTTTTTTTTTTTAATAACAATTACAGTTCTCCCCCCGTTTGAGGTATTAAGATGCATTCCTTTAGGATTAAAATATCAACAGCCAGAATAAGTCAAATTACCATTGGCAAAATAAAGGTAAGATCTAAGGAGTGATTTCTATTTCTCACCACCTTCCCCTGTAAAAAAAAAAAAAAACCAAAAACAAAAAACAAAAAACAAAAAAACAAAACCAAAAAAGCCTGCAAAAACTTGTTTTTATATGTACTGCTGGTTGACATATGGTGAAGCTTCTACAGGAAGGATAGTTTAGGAACCAGCTTCCCTATTTTCCCTCATCGCTCTGCCAGATCTGTACTTCAGCTCAACATGAAGGTCAACACTGCCTATGCTTTAAGAGAAGTGTGCAGTAATTGAAGGAGAAATGCATTGGTTAAGCCTGTTGTTGAGTATTGGGTCATAATGAAGGGAAATATTTGAATTAAGTGAAAGCATTTTGTTTTTCTAGCATGCTTTTTTCAAATAAAAAGTAAATCCACCCAGCTAGCAACAATTTCAGCGTCTATTCAAACGTTATAAACAGGTACTTAAAGGCTACTTTACAATACGATACAACTCCAGGTGATTCTAATGACTGTCACAGAATATTGCTAAAGCAATATGTACTCACAGAATGGGAAAAATTCTGAAGCAGTCGCATGCTTATCCCTGTGGGAAGATTAGTTAAATATGCATTAGTGAAGGAAAAAACACCAAAAATACATGTTTTAATGAAAAAAATAGCGAGCACTTTCAAAGCCCTTTTTGTGATTTCCCCTTGGAGCTCTTGCTGACTTTGAGCTCAGTTCCACATCTGATAGAGCAACACCCTTCTTCTGAGTTGCACTTTGAGTATGAGCACACAGCTGAGCCCAGGACACCGAACTTATTTGAGACTATTCACATTTTTGTGTGGTTGGGTGGTAAGAAGTATTTCATCTGTGAACATCGTTTGCTAATGTGTATGTCTCTACTGAGTAATTTTAATTAATTTGGGCCAGCTTGTCTCAAATGCAACAGCTTCCTTGACTGAAAAAGACAGAAATGCTTTAAAATGTGATTATCTCCTGTCTTGTCTGTCATCCTTTTGCACTGCTTGAAATGGTTTGGGAATCTCCCACTTCCTGGACGCTTAGTTCAGCAAAGAATTAAAATTTGAGACCCAAGCTGATGGGAGGTGCTTGGAGGCTGTGTCTCCAGAAAACTAATGCTTTCTGCACAGGTTTTGACTGTTCTTATGCCAGTCTGTCAACAAGAAAAATCTATTATGCAGATTCATAGTTTGCATGGACAACAAGGCATCATTAGGCTATATTCCTCCAGCTAAAAGCCTTGCAGTTGTAAACAAAATCAACCGCAAACTGGGGGTCTGATGCTGTTGTGAATCTTAGGGGCATACTGAGAAATACTCAGCCAGGAGGAGAGATGGGGATGGCTTTAAGCCTGATCTGCTACCGCAGGGCTTGGGCCTCAAGCGCGTGTTCAGTCACGTGCATAGAAGTCTCTAATTCTCTTATCCCAGAGGCTGCATGGAAGCAAGCTGAGGGGAGATGAGCTCAGTTCTGGGCAGTTTCCACCTCACAAGAATGCTATATTGAAGCTCAGATATCAGGGTGTGTGTGGGGGGACTCCTCCAGGTTATAAGCCAGAAGATCTTAGCTTGTTCTTAACTTTCATAAGGAATGATAATTGAAGCTGGCATCAGAAAGACATAGTTTCACTTGTCTTTTCAAATCAAGTTATTACTTTCATAATCTGAAGCAGCATATTCTGTCCAATGTGATGAATTTTCAACTATTTATATTAATCTTATCTACTTTGATAGTGCCCAATCAAAACAGTGGCTTCACTTTAAAACGGGCTGCAGAAACAAGTTAGGCTGGTTTGTATGGCTAGTCAAGTATGGTTACATACCTGCTTTCAGCTTTCACTTATGGGTCCTTTAGAAACCTGATGACCCAAAGTTCTCTCCCAGGTAGCTGCCAGGTCTCAGGTGACCAGGAACTAGTGCTCGAGAGATGGGTGTTCACTGTGTTGAAGCTGCCTGCACCTTTCTTGCCAAGTTAAAAGTGCCTTTGAGGTTAGATTGATCATCTTCAGCCTCTTAAGGCTGTATCGATCTTCAACATTCATCCTTCAAATAGTATGAGAACTGAGCACCTCTCTACTGTTTGCTGCTGTGGTATGGGCACGTGAAGGGTGACCATCAGCCACCAAAATCTATGTGATAGGAGAGTATCCATGGCTGCCTAGGGAATTGAGCACAGGCATCTTGCAGTGCTGACGTACACCTTCAAAGCCAGCAAAGGTCTGAGAGACAAGCGTATGGCAAAGAAAGTGATAGAAGTGCATTTGAATGGAATACAGGCACTACAGAGCAATAACAGGCAATGAAGGAAAATTGGCTCACCTCTTCCTATAACCACTAACAGCTCAAGAGGAGCACAGTCTCTATCCAGAGAGATACTGCCTCCTCAGCTGCTAACCCTTAAATGAGGGTGAGGAGGGGTGCACTGCTTGCATCTGAGCTACCTGAGTTAGCCATGCCTTCTCATCTGATGCTCGACCATTGATTCAGGCTGTGGCCTGGCAATTCTACTGTAACAAGCAACCCTTGAACATCTTCAGATGTCTGTAGAGGGCCAATGACGCAGATAGAAGAACTGGGATGTACCAAGGAAAGAAAGTATAAAAACTATGTACACACATGTATAAGCAAACGCAATCTCACGAACTTTCAATCAAATTGCTGTGTGGCACACATACAGATTTTTCAAGCCATATTTAAACAGTAAGGAGTGGCATATTTAAACAGTCACAGGTTACTCTTGAATACATTTATTAAAACTTATTCTTTGATTGCTTATTACTACATCAATTTTTATAGGTTGTTGAAGCTCTGTTTACTGTATTATCATCTCAGTGCTGTGATACTTGGAAATAGGACACCTGACACTTACTCTCTTGTTTCATGAAGGTAAATTTCAGAATTGCAGTGCCCTGAACACCCTGGTGTTGTCAATCTAGGATTCTTTTTTCAGAAAACTTTAAAACTGTCACAAAATTTCTGCCAGTTGATTTATTGTTTGAAACTAAAATGCACAGAATAAAAACGTGGATGTACAAAATAATCCCATTCTGTATCATGTAAATTACGCTGATGCGTATACATTGATAACTGAGAACTTGGTTAGCAAAAAAACCTCAAACTAGAAAGGCAAATGTATCTAACAATTAGACAGTATTAAGTGTGTGAAAATACTACTAGTGATTAAAATGACTCCATTAATAGATTTCTCTGGTCCAATTTGTGTCCTTCCAATCTATGTTTTGAAGACTTTACATGTCATCTTGTGTTATTTGGGGTACTGAAATATATATTGTATATTTGACAAAAACTTATGAGCATAGAACTTGAGAGGTGTTCTACAGGTAAAAGGAGCATACAAGAAAGCAACAATTTTAGCTCTTACTTCTATTATCTGGCACTTGTGGCAACTCTGTTGATTAGAACATTGAAGCAAAACTGAAATCCAGCACTTCATTTGTGAGCTATTGCTGGGTATGTCAGCTGCAGGAGCTCAATATCCCTTCAGCTCCTAAGATAGCACTGGATGGCCCTATACTCAACATCTGTCTCTGCAAAGGAAACATGACAAGACAGCTACTTTCTGTGGACCATGTAAATCTAAATTTCCTTACTTGCCCAGGGAGACTTTACTTGCTTTATGCCCCTGCCAGGCTAGAGATATGCCTAGGGTTTAGGAATAAGCTAGCTGGTGTGCCAGCAGCCAGTTGTCAGACAAATAAATGGGGGCCTCTTGTAATAGGATGCAGACATATGCATTGGTCCACTCACATCCATCAGTTCCCAGTGAGATCTGCTGCTGCCCAGTTTTATTCCTTCTAATTTGATCCATTAAAAACAAACAAACCATGCTGTCAGTGACTACAGCTCAGTTGTGTGCAGTTGATTTCACCTAGCGATGAGCAAAATTTAACCTTCTTTTTCACTTGCTGCTTGTGCACAAGTGAAGGAAGACACAGGATTATATCCCACACAGCTTGGAGTCGATAAGGAATCTGCCCATAAGAACTGCAGAAGCCACTTCCAGGTGGCAATATATAAAAATAAAGGCAGGAATGAAGAGTGAATAAAGAGCTTGGAAGTGATGGTGTCATACTGGAGCCACATCCTCTGGGATTTTCTATATCTCCCCCTGTACTTCTGAATCATGATTGCCCCCATGCATTTAATTCCCTTCCTCCCACTGCATCTTTATCATTTTCAGCTTTCCATTGTTTTCCCTACAATTAATTCATTCTGCTCTAACAACTGGAAGACAGAATAGAAAGCGTCCAGATGCACTGGCTGTGATGCAGTTGTGGAGGGCAGTGTGGGCAGAAGGCAGAGCAGGGTAGGGAGCTGGCTGCCTTTGCCTTTGGGGTTGAATCCCTCAGCCAAGCGCTTCTAGGAGGTTGTCACTCAGATGTTTGGGTGCAGAAGTCAAAGCAACGGCAACGCTACTTCAGTTTATGCTATCTATAAAACCACTACTAACACTTTTAGGTAGTTCTATGATTTTAGATGCCTGCAACAGCAACCATGGGAATTCAGGCATATGGCCCTTACCATATGACAAAATGCCTTTAGTAATTTTTAGTCTTTTCCACACTTCTGCTTGTGGATAAGATACTGCAGTATAAAAGGCATTTCATGCTTTGATTCATCTTCACAAAATTAACTTCCAGTGAAATTTTAAGATACTGCCACTTCCTCTGCCAGCTCACTGCCTCATCTCGTTTCATTCTCAGGTTTGTGAAACTCAAGTAATCCACTTCCATGCTGAGATAGACACCAAATTCTCAGGAGAAATGCCAGAAACATTGGATACTATTTTATAGTCTTAATCTGATCTGAGTCAAAGCAGAAATCACTGTTGCTTCATTATATAGGAAGTGAGAGCAGCTATTTATTACCTTCACCTCAATTACTTCCTGAAATCTTTAGTACACAAAGGTGTGTCAGTATGTGCACAATAACCTGGATTGTGTGTGATGTCTGGTAAAACCAAATGGCTTGATAGTCCATGCAAATAACAGGTTATGTGCATTTTTCCAGGCTACAGGAAAGAGGAAAATATTATGGCTCCTGTTGAAGTAGCTTTAATATAGTAGCTTTAATAGCTTTTTTAGTAGCTTTTAAAGTAGCTTTAATAACATACACAGGAAAAAATCCTGCTGAAAGTGTATAAATGCATGACAGAAGAAATCCAGATGCCCAAGCATGCAAAAAGACAGGTGCTAGTGGAACAAAACAGCTCAGTAAGCCCTTTAAAAAATAGACTGTGTGCATGCATACATGCGTGCAACTGCAGCAGTGATGCATACACTTAGCTTAATTGTTGTATGTGAAGCTGCTTAAGAGCTTAGTACTGCCCAGTTGTATTCCTTGGCTTGCTGGCAGTGTCCCTTGGTAGTGATGGGTGCCAGTTAACGTGCTAATTAGATCTCTCTGTTAGTACTTCTTATGCAGAAGAGAGACCCTCTTCTTCCTCCTAGCTCTCCGTTCTCCCTTCTCCAGCACACAGAACTAATCCTCCTACCACAAAATCAGTTTGACCCTTCCATGTGTTAGAGACTGAATAAAATGCACCTCCCTTAATACAATTGCTAAGTTGGAATGGATCTGAAGGCAAGCTAGTTGCTTTAGAAACATGAGTAATTAACTCAGTCGTTTGATCTGCAGCACTGTAAAAACTAAAATGAGTACAGAAATATCCATAGGTTTTCTTAATCTGCTTTTAAAGGATCTTAACCATATTAGGGGCTCATAGTAGCAATTCAAAAGCTAAATATAAAAGAGGCTTTATGAAGTCATTATAAGCTTTTCTGGGAAACCAGAAAGATCATTCTTATTTTTGGTGCATTATCCTGTGAGATAAAGATAGCAAATCTAGCAAGTAACCATCCAGAACGAGCTCCACAGCAGAGATACTGCGACACGAAGCAGGGCTGTTAGAGCAACAGCGTTTGGAGAGCAGTGTTCTGACAACACCATCTGCTCAGCTGGGCTGTATCTTCCTATTACAGGCTCACATAATGCCCCATGCATGATTTTCTGTGGAAGTCAGTGTAAGAGCTGATGATTTATTTTGACATTAATATTTACCAGGCTGGTGTATGCTTCAATATTCAAGATGTTGAATATTTTTGCGTATTTAAAGAGCCATTCAAGTAGCTTTTCTCTGCTCTTGCAGACAGTAGCAACCTATTTTGCCACTTACCACTGTTGCAAGTCAGATGCTATTCAAATGGCATTACTTCAAGCAAATACCAGTAGTGCTGCTTTTGCTTGAATTATGAGCTAAGCCAAAGGTTACTTAAGGGCAAAAGAAGGGAGCTAGCATTTTGTGTTGGCCAGCTGAAGGAGAGTAAAACAAAGCTTCAACAAAATCTTAGTGGTATTATTATAAAAATTCATTCTTGACACTGAAAATAGTGTAATTTGATTTTCCCTTCATAAAATCTAAGAGATATTTCATTTGTATTTAACATTTAACAATTCTCTTGCTGATTCTGTCTGGTGTTTGTGGGTTTTTTTGTTTAGTTTTCAGGTAAATCTTTCAAATAATGTTTCTATGCTTCGATGAAATATAGTATAAGTTTGAACAGCCAGAGAATTTCAAATCTGTGGAATGACTGCATTAAAGCATTTTGATGGATACTATTTTCATCCAGAAATGGATTACAGAGCTGACAGATTACTTTCAAATAACCATTATGGTTGTGAATCATACTGACAAGAGCAAAGAAATTCCATTCAGAAGAAAGCATCTTGCCTCTGCCATACATTTTGATGAATGTGGATATTTATGTACAGTTAACAGATTTTTTTTTTACATAGCTAGAGATAAAAACTTATCATTTTAATTTATCTGCTGCAACAGTATTTCCTCACTAACTACAAGCTTACCATAATGTGCATCATAAGTATTGGTACTGCACATGGACCAGAGTTGTTGCTCCAAAACAGCTCTGAGTTCCAAAATGGATGGTTTGGTATTTCATCTTGAAGAGTACATTGATATGCCAGGGATGCACTCACTCACAATTGGAAACAGCACTGGCAAAACTCAAGGTGCTTATGATTTTCCTGCATATGTCTGCAGCTGTTTTTCAAAACAATTACTTTTCCAAATATTGAAAGGATAAATGTAAAAATGAAAGAGTTCCTGTACACTGGAATGCAGTTTCTGCTGGCAAATTAAATCTAGGCTGAGCATCATGTTGTTTTATTAACTTTGAGTTTTAATTCTTGTAGACATTTACTAATACATTTCTAGCAGCAGCTGCTCAAGGTACAACTCCTCCTGTTTGTGTTGAAAACCTTGTGAAATTTGGATGTTTGGAATGCAAATATGAACTGTAGAACATGAACACTGCATCTTTTTCTTTCACTTCCCTTCTAGGAGCTGCAAGAACTTTTGAAGCTGGACCTGACAATGTGCAGTCTGAAATGCTGCAGCTTAGATGCATTTTTTCTTTTGGTGCTGTGTAGGTAAGAAATATTTACTGAAAATTATTATTTCCTCAATCTATAACATCAGTTATAGATTCATCAGAACATCAATCAGCTTAGAGCTAAAAAGCAAATCAAGCCAATCAAGGTAAAGCCAAATCTACTTGATAGTTGAACCTTCCCTCTTCTAAACATTAACTAACCTGGGCATTAATAACAAAAATACAGGACTGAATTCCCCCATCAATCCTCTTCACCCCTTTTACATCTTTTTCACTGAGAACACCAATGGGGGAAAAAAAATGAACTTGATCAAACGGTCCTTCAAATGAAGGACTACTGTGTAGAGAGCGTGAATATCATATTAGACACTGGCAAATTCAGAGGGGTGCATGGTGCTCTCTTGAAGCACCCACCTTGCCTGAGGGCAGAGGCATAGAGCGCACCTCCATGTGCTATAAGCTTGAGGTAGCAAAGTCATCTTTGTGAACTCACTGCTAAAGAAAAGTGTCTTAAGAATTGCATGGTTGAAATGCATACTATGCTTTGTAGATGAAATTGTGAATTCTTAAGGAAAGCTGAATTGTGTTAGACTGGAAGGTGCAACTGATCCCTCTCACGTACAAATAATCCTGCTAACAGTGCAGTTGCCATGGCAAAAAAAAAAGAAAAAGCCCCATAAGACAGAAATGGAGCACTTTAAAAGTGAAAAAAATGTCTTCTTTTGGAAGGAACGTATTTTATAAGCAACTTTAATAAGAAAATGCAAGCATGGGCAGGTTAAACAACATTGCACCCACCATCCTTAACTACCTGAAATATATTTAAAACCTGCTTAGCCAATTCTCTTTGTAGAAATACCTTGCCTGTTTATCCTCCTAGTAAATACCTCATGATAAGGTTCTGCCTGAGCTTTACTTTCAAGTTGATGTGCAAACACATTTTTAGATAAAGCCTCACTTAGTGAGGGCAAGTAGCACTCTCCTAAGGGGGAATGTAAGACCTCTCCCTCCTTTGCCTTCTGCAGTGCTATGCAGACATTGTTGCCCAGAATACATTCAGTTTTACCTTGTCAGCTGTGACTTGCTACACACTGTAGCTAATAATCATGGCTTTGCACTAGTAAAGTTGCAAAGAGATCAATGTTTATGCAGTCTAACAGTGATAGGACAAGGGGGAATGGCTTTAAGTTAAAAAAGGGGAAATTTGGGTTAGATGTTAGGAAGAAATTCTTTACTCAGAGTGCAGTGAGGTACTGAAACAAATTGTTGAGAGAAGTTCATCCCTGGAGGTTCTCAGGGCTGGATTGGATGGGGTGCTGGGCCCTGACCTGGCAAACAGCGTATGGCAGGGGTTGGAACTGGGGAAGTTCTGAGGTCCCTTCTAACTACAAACATTTCAGATGTGTCTGAGTAACAACTTGCTGAATAATGCTTCTTATTTTCACTTTCAGTATGAAGTTATGTTGTAGATATACATACAAAAAATCTGTAGCCAGTGGATTGTGTGGATTATCATTTTTCCAGAAATATTTTTATTAATAAATAAGAGATGAATAAATGTATGGCAAATTTATCAAAGTAATCAATACAGCTCACAGTTTTAATCACTATCAAGAAACAGCTTAAAGACAGGAGTTGATCCCAAGAGCAGCTCCCACTCATTTCAAGAGAGATGTTTCAAATTAAGAATGCCAGCCCAAGATTATAGGGTTGGATTCAGAAGACTTTCTGGGGTGTTGATGTTCTGTCTAACTTAAAGACCACTTGCATTATTTAAGTATTTGTTCCTATACCTGGGAAGTGGTAATACAATGCCACTGTTTCAACACTGCCAATTAACCAAGAGCCATGGAATGCACAGAATGCTTTGAAGTGGAGAAATTAGCAGTGATGTCGGTGATCCTGCTGCTGTTTATATGTGAAGACAATGCAAAAGCCAATATCCCTGAACATGTCTAGTGTGAAACAAAAAGCAACACCTTTGATTGTGTCTGCAAACCCTTTGCCTGTCAGTGGATTGCCTCAAAGAAGTTTTTGGCCCAGCTTTTCCTGAGGGGTGCGTTTCAAAGGCTCGCTCAGACTGTATTTGGCATTTTGCTTTTCCCTTCTCTCAATTCTGAGGTGTTTCTGCCTCTTTCATGATACATAAATCTTGATGAGAAATAGCCAGGAACAACATTCCTGCACATGTGTCTTGAATGTACTTTTGTTTTAAATGTGATATGTACTGCTGTTTAGGGCAGATGCTCCCTCTCCCCTCCATCCCCCCCCCTTTGGTTACCCAGTTCTACTAAGTCACTAGGTTGATTGTGTCTTAAATAACAAGCAATTGTACCTTCCAGACGTAGCCCAGTTTGTTAAATATTACATCTTCTGAACCATAAGAATAGCAAAGGAAATTAAATCATTATAGTTCAACTTTCACAGATGCCATTATGGGCCACTGAGCCCAAAGAGTTTAATATGTTTGTTATACCTTGATAACCCAGAACAGAAAGCTTGGAATGTTAAATTATATGTGTATATGTTCAAGTTTTTTTCCATAAAAGCATATTATCTCCTCTGTGGCTGGAATAGGCATTTCAAGGCAATTAAATGTGTGCCAGTGTATTTTAAATACATTAAGAAAACAGAAAAAATGGAACACTCACGTAGTAAGATTTAAAAAAAATAATAGTAAATAAAAGGGAAGCTCAGATGCAGTGATGAGAAGATGTACAGGTATAAGAAGAAACAGCCTTAGATTTTACTGTCATCCTTTGCAATCTCTGCACAAGGCCATGTAGTAGATACTTTTTTCTTACAGACAGGTATAAACTCGCTTGCTTAGTGATGACATGGGCATGAGCACTGAAGAGCACTTTAGAGGAATCAGGACATCCTGTGCTAAAATGTAGATAAGCTAAAGCACTTAACACGTGTAACATCTATGTGTTCTTTGCCTTTCAACACAGTTTGCTTCTGAGTATGCCGGCAGTTACCTGAGTGGGATCTAGCAATGCACTGTGCTCAAGTTGGAGAGACAGCAGGTTTTCTCTTGCATAGGATTTCTAAATGATTATATGGCAAAATATAGTGCAATAAATTAAACTCTGTTAATTCAGTGCATAAGTTACTTCACAACAGCCTTTCCTTGGCTAAAAGTTCATTCTTAACCATAAAATCAACAGAAGAGAAAAACATGAGACTACACATCGTATGTTGATAAAGGAAATCAAGAATTGTCCTGGGAGATAAAACAAGTGGTCTAAGGAAAGTACTTGCCAGCCTAAATAATGCCAAATATTCAAGATCTATTTCTGCAGATCGGTGTTTATGAGGGCAACACACCAGACCACTCCATGACCACATGCTGATCTGCAGAACAATATTATACCCTTGCAGTGAAAAAGCGGCAAGTTTTTCTTTATGGTTTCACAAAATGTGAAAATTATGCAGAAGCAATCCGGTAAAATTGTGAAATTAAACTCATGCAGCTCATTGAGCACTTCACTGAAATTAAATGTAAATTGCAAAAGCAAGAAAGTCTGTTACAAGTAGAGTATTTAAGAAATGAATTAAATTCAAATGCATTTCTAATTCCCATAATTCTGTAGGATATAAAACTGACATTCTTATTTATATGCACACTTGAACTCAATGTGACTTTCTTTAAGACAAAAAAGAGCTTAAGAAGAAGCAGTCCTTATTACTTAAGTCTACCCTTAAGTAAACGATGAGAAATTCTCTTTTATCAATAAAGAAATAAAAGCCTGGTCTAAAAGAAGAGAAGTAAAAAATAGATGAGCTCCCTAAGTCAAAAGGCTGCAGATTAAAACTGGTTTCATATGTGGCAGTTGGGTCCAGTAAACAGAAAAAAATTAAATAGTAATAACAGCACTAAAAGGTTGACAGTAGACACTGTTTCAAACCATGATTTTGGGGCTCTGAGCCTGATCTAGTGCCTGATGTAATGGTTGGCACCCCTGCATGTGGCTTGGAAGTTGGAATTGGACAGTCTCTGAGGTCCCTTCCAACCCAAACATTCTGTGATTCTGTAATTTTATAATCTTAATGTGAAAGACTGGATTACTGCTTGTAGTGGAAAAACTAAGTGATGGCTTGAAGCAGTGACTGAGCAGCTAGTGGGAAGGCAGGGCCAACCTATGGGAGCTCAGGTGCATGCAATGTATCTGAGTGACCAGAAGGTGTGGAGCCAGGATCCACCCCTTCCCAGGCCTTATTTAAGTGTTGGCAGTGGAAACAAGAATGTTTTGCTGGAGATCCTTATGTATTTTAGGCCTTCTGAAGGTAAGTAGCTTCTTTATTTCTGTGGCTGTTGCAGTTGAGCTTGCTGCAGCCTGGGAGTTGGCTGCTCTGTTGTCTTTGCTGTGCTTTCTGTTGTGTTATGTTGCAGTTAGATGAAATCCATTCCTTTCTGACAGAATTGCTCAAACTTGCTGGAAAACATAGTAGTATTGCAGTCAAAGGAATGCATTATGAAAGGCTATAGGCAGTCCAGAAATATAGCTAAACAGAGCAAGTAGAGATTCTAAGAGCAGCTCTGAGGGGATTAGGAAGAGGAAGCTGAGTAATAACGAGGCAGAAGCAAGAAAGCTCCAAGTTGGGTGCTCACCTAGCCATGGCTTTGCACTACACTCTTTTCCAAAAAGCATAGTTCTTTTCTTTACAGGGCTGGGTTGCTAGTGCTCCTATATTACTAAGAAGAGTTAAGAGGCAGAGCTAGGCTGGGGGGAGGATGAGCCCCCATCCCTTGTAGAACATTCTTCTGATGAATTTACAGATGGCTGCTCTCTGTCAGAGCCTCTGCCCACAGCCAGATAGGCTTCCCCAGGTGAGTGGCTTCCCACTGTCTTTGCTTGTTCTCAGCCTCTGTGTGAAGCTACAGTAGAGGCCTTAATGCAGAGGTGAGTTTTGTATTTACTTGTCTGTGTTTAGCTGATGAATGTTGTATTTGTAGCTGCTTTTGAACACAGGAGTGGTGTGTATTCTTATTCCTCACTGATTTTGCCCAACAGGGTTATTTCTGTAACCTATTTAAAAATGTTGCTGTAAAAGCAGGCTTTTAGAAGTGTTTTTATGCACTAATCTCTGAGGCTGGTTTCTGTCTCCCTCCAGGAGCTAAATTGAATGTATTTCATTATGTAAAAAGAAGCTTAATTTTAAGTACAGCAACAGACAATCAACACCCCACCCACATTCCTAGATTAGTGCCCTATTTACAGAGAAAGCATTAAGGAAGACTGAGCCACTTTCTCAGGTGAGATACAAAGAAGTGCTAGGCTTTAGGATACGAAAGCAGTGTCTTTTGTAAATAAGCAATTAACACAGTTTGTCAAATCTGGTATTTTCTAGAATGGTTTTTTTCTGCAGTGCTGTGAAATGCAGACCTGCAAATAGTTTATGTGTTATGACCTGCAATAATCATCAGTAACCTTGACCCTAATACATATTGGTCTGGAACATAATCTTTTTTATAACTGATGGTAGTTTTTAAAAACATCCTCGCTTTCTTTCTTTTAGGTCTGTGCAGGTTTCTGAAGCTGAAGGAAAAGGTGAAATTCTTCCCCCAACCATACAAAATATAATAAAAGGATACAACAAATATCTACGTCCATTTTTTGACAGTAAGTAGAAAAGCTCAGTCATGAAACTCATGCTTGAAAATCAGTGATAAGATCAAATGTTTTCCTCTGTGCTGCTGCTTGATAGCAACTCATCAGATTATATTTGATGCCCTTATCTAGAGTAGAATATAGTGTAATAGTTTTTGTGGCCCAAAGTGTATGTATTCCAGGCATTCACAGACCAAACTTCCAACTCTGTAGGAAACTTGGTTATTGATGTTTGTGTTTCCTCAGTGAGGCATCTATAGAACTTATTTAAAAATGTAATTTATCATAATTTCAAAAATATTAACAATAGAAAATTTTAAAGGTTAGAAAGTGCTACGTATCATGTTGCTCACAAAAGCACAGGCAAATCTTCTTCCCCACCTTGTACCACGTGCATCTATTATGTGCACAAGAGAATTGCCTTGAGTATTAAAGATCACTGAATGGGTTCATTTCAGAACTGCAGAGGTAAATTAACTGAAAATGTGAGTTCCTTGTGTTGGAAGACCGCAGTCACCAGGTTGGAAGATCTGTGTTCAGACCTGTCTCCAGCACAAAGTCTGATGTTACTGATATCTAGTACAATCATCTTTGCACATCTGAAGTCTTAGTGAACCTTCCTTGCCCGATGCTGGCTACTGAATGCATCAGAAATACTGATGAGGAGTTGCAGGCTTTGTGGTGATAGATTTCTTCCTGGACTAGCTGCAGAACTCAGAAAGTAGTTTGCGCATTGGAAAGATGCTCAGCTTCACATGTCTATCAGAAAATAAACCTACACAATGAATGCTAGGCAGTTGCTATTAAATTAGAAATTCAGAAATGTTAAGGGTTTCGAGCTAAGGCTTTTTATATGCTTTTATATCCCATTTAAAAGTGATTCTCAGACCATGCTGTTACCTCTTGCTGTCCAAACACCTGGTTAGACTATCAGCCTGTGCACTATGGGCAATTGCCAAGGGCAGTTTTTGAACCAATTCTATAAAATATTAAGAGAAAACCCATATTTTGGATTTGGGAGAGAAACAATTACTGGATTTATTTTATTGTAATTGCCTCAACTGCTGATACAGCTGCTTTTAGATATTTCTTAATTATGAAATTATTAACAAGATGAAAGTAATAATGACAACTAAATGAATGACAGTTTGAGATGTTGCAGAGTGAGAAATATATTAGTGACCACTGAACTTAGTTATTACGTTCATTACTTCAGTGTGGTAATATATATGCACTGGCACTGCTCTTATGGATGTACTTTAGCAGATTGCAAACAGAATTGCAATACAAAACCCTGTTATCTTGGTTAACCATCACCATAGCACTTTAGAGATATGAATCTTTTTTTAATGCTAACAGAATTCTTTTCTCAGCTGTTGTAAAGCAGTAAATCTGTAGCTCTTTTTGTGCCTGTGTTTTTTTTCAGAGGGGTGCTAGGGACTTTCTCAGTTCCCTTGGAACTCCCACAGGAGCTCAAACACAGCCCAAGCCTGTCATATCAGAGCCAGTCAAGCACTCCTAGAAGTTGTCAGAACTGCTGCTGGCCAGAGCTCCGGCATGCGAACACTTGTGTCCCAAAATCTGATGGATGTACAATCACTCTACTACTGAAAGAATAGGTTGACACTCTGAAAAATATATTTTACTGTTGCCAGATGCAAATGCAGAGTTTGTGGTTTCACAAAAAATGATGATTTCATAAAAATAATTTAGGTTAGGATGACCCAGGTTGATCCCAATTTTGTGCAGCTTTTTTCAAGATTGTTTGGCAGTGACTATTGAAACAGCCTGTCCAATTGCATCAGTATGTCAGTACTGATTTACTATGGGGAGGGAAGTCATGTTTCTAGGAAAATGAACAGAGTGTATATGAGCATTAACCCTGAAGTCTGTATTTGTTGTATAAAGTGCATGAAAGTATTCCTGTGGAATGGGAAGAATATGCAGCTGGCAGCTTGAAGCCAGTCTTCTCAAGATGCTTGTCTCCCTTTTTGTGTCCAAGATTTCTTTACTTTCAGAAATGTGCAGAAATATGATCTGTTTATTTGTGGGATAAATACACTCATAAATGTGTGAAGAGACCAGTCATAAAACTAGATGGTGGTACTTGTTTGCATCTACAGCATTTTCAGCTTAATGCTAGCTGGGTATAATAATAGAATTATGTAATCCATAATGTTGGAAAAAACCCTGAAGACTGTGTAGTCCAGCCATTGATCCATTACCACAGTGCACACTAAACCACATCCCTCAGTACCACAGTTGCCCTTGAAGACCTCCATGGAAGATGATTCTGCCTCCGTGGGCAGTCTGTTCTAATGCTTACCATTCTTTTGGAGAAGCTTTTCTTAATATCTGACTTTGACCTTCCCCTGGTACAATTTGAGGCCATCCCCTATTTTCTTATCGCTCTTGCCCAGGAGAAGAGGCCAACCCCATCTCAATATGCTTCCTCTGAAGGGAGTTCTAGAGAGCAGTAAGGTCTCTCTGAGCCTCCTTTTTTTTCCATGCTAAATAGTCCCAGTTCCCTCAGCTGCTCCTCGTAAGACTTGTGCTCCAGACTCTTCACCAGCTTTGCTCTTCTTTTGAACATGCTCCAGTGCCTTAATGTCTTGTAGAGAGGGGCCCAAAACTGAATGCAGCACTCGAGGTGTGGCATTACCTGTGCCAAGTACAAAAAAATCACTTCCCTGATCCTACTGGTCACACTTTCTGATAGCCAGGGTGCCATTGGCTTTCCTGGCCACCAAGGAACAATTCTAGCTCGTGTTCAGCTGCCTATCAACCATGAACTGCCATGTTTAACACTGAAATGTGATTTTTATCAAGGGTAAGAGAGCGAGAGGTTGGCTTGATTTTTCAGTGTAATGTACTTCATAGTAATTTCAAAGGTATTTATCATTGAAATTTTTCTTCAGGCAGGGAATGGGAGATTTCTGATGGGATGCTGCCAAAATATAATCATATTCTAACAAAATCAGTGCTACTGAACTCCTTAATATGAGTTTTTAGTTAATAAAATGTTCATTGGGCATAAACAAATGATAATAAAATGAAGATTTTTAAATTTCTGTTTCTTCTGGCTTTAGGGAAAAGGAATCTTTACTTGTCAAGGAAGTATTACTGCAGCTTGTAGTTCTTATGTTTATGCTTACGTTTAGTTCTTGTGCCAGGATTTGCATATTCCTGAAAATTAACCCAAGTTAATGAGATGAAGATATTTTTCCTTAGAATTTGGTGACTGTGCATGACATTAAATTGTCTTCTCTTGCATGGATTAGAATTAGTAGGTTTTGTAGATTTTCCTAGATTTCTGGATTAATCTTGCTGCCTCCTCCCACACAGGTCATCCCTGCAGAACCTTGCTGCCAAAGCACAGCCAGCTATGCCGAGCAGACACTGCTGTTCCCATCTCTACACCTTATTAGGGTACTTAACATTAGATTAGATAAAGCCAGGCTTAGTACCTCAAGAATGTGTAGGCATGTAAAATTGACTGAATAGTCAATACATTTTCTGTGCTGGGTGGCACGTTCCAGTTGCTAAATTATAGTGGTACTCTCACATAGCTTTTGATACGCAGGAATCCTAACTGGACTTGTTACCTGTCTTTTCTGTCATCTGAATATTACTGTTTCATTTTCTTAACTATAGCATTTTAGTGCTCCAATTTGAGCTGTTTCATCAAGCAAGTCTTAGATAATCTGAACAAATAAGCTTGGGAAGTTCTATTAATAGGTTAGAAACACTACCTAATGAAGAATGATTTTAGCTGTTCTTTGGGCTGGAAATGGAATATTTTTATACTAGTATTAGTAGATAGTGCCTCTCAGTGTAATATCCATGACAGTCTTCTAGATAGGTAAGGAAGTCTTCCTTAGGAAAGCTGACATAAGGGATTTCAAAATGTGCAGTTATTTTCCTTAAATGTGCTACATAACCCCAACGCTTTATCGCACCCGGACAAGCAGATTTTAAAATTTCTGCTGAAACTGTGTGGAATGATCTTTTAAGTGTTGTGCTAAACCTCTCTGAATTAATGAGAAATTCCTGCTGACTTCAGTGAGCCCTGGTTCAGGTTCATGGGGTTGTTAAGGGATGCATAAAATCTTGTAAATAACTTTATACAAATAGATTTTGTTCTGTGATTGAATGTGATAATTTAAGTATTCTAATTAAAAAGAGAGAGACTAGGAAAAGGTCACAGCTAAGTGTGTTTGAATATGTAAGCTACTTTCAAGTAGTACAGAGAAGTGCCATCGTTAAATCAGTTACTCTAAACCACATTTATAATATCATTTTTCCATTGCTTTTTAATGAGCAATACTTTTCTGGATCGCAAGGTTTAAATTCGAGAAAGCCAATCAAGTCTTCTGGTCCAATCTTACACGTAGCCTCGGCACCACATCTTTCCCAAATGTTGTTTATATTAAGTTCTAGTTTAATTAGATGAGGGCAGTTTGGTCCTCAGAAGTTTAATGTTTACCCCCGAAGATATCAGGAGATGCTGGGATGTTAAGCATGTCTGAGAAGTTCTGATTTGGTGAGACAAGCTCAGAGGGCACGTAAGAAATTAATACCAGATAATTGTCAAGTAAATATTATTTTATGTACCAATTAGCTTTTCTCCTCTGGAGCCTGTTTACAGGTGTAGCCATGTCTAATCCTTCAGTGAAAGGCAAAAAGCCCAGAGTATACATGTGGCCACTTGTATGATGGGGAAAAAAACCCACCAAACACAACACCTGCTGAATCCTTAAGACTTGTGATTTAATAAATGCATGACTTGATGCAAAAATATAAACTTCAGCATATGGACAGTAATGTAGATTTTCCTTCCTTTCCCATGGAAATAAGACTGTGAGACTACCCCTGTCAAGCCCAGCTTGCTGCAGGACAGATTTCACCCCCATTCGCAACTGAAATGCTGAATTCTAGACATTCAGAATGATGCTCAATGCTTAAGTTCAATTAGAGAAAATCAGCTAATATGCAGTTTCAGGTTGTTTTTATCATACACAAACTGGGAACTTTATTAGCAAATGTAGTACTATATCACTGGGTGCCTTCTCTGTGTGCTTACTGACACTGTTTCCTCTTGGAGGAGCTCAGTAAATGTTATTCCTTAATATTCATATTATAAACTCTCATGTTACAGTTCCAGAGTTTTTCATCTGGAAAATTTCTGTCTCTCTCTATTGAACTCTTTATGCTGTTTACACATTTTTTTTGAAATGTGGGAAACAAATCTCATCCCAGCAATCTAATAACAGCCTTGCCAGCACAGTCTAGATTGTAAGGTAACTTAAGTCTATGTATTGCTCCCTGTTGGAATGGTACTTTTGCCAGAGTATAATACTGAATGCTCATGTTGAAATGATTATCCGTGGTGACCACTAAATCCTTCTCAAAGGCCCTGCTTGCCAAGAGAGTTTCCTGTCTTATACATACTGCCTGCATTATTTGTCCTCATATTAATTGCTTACATTTGGCTGTATTTTAATACTTTTTTTTTTTTTTTTTTACAAACAATTTAAGCTACTAATGTTACTTTCCCCATCAATTTTTTTATGGTGTCCATAAACTGTACTTGCAAAGATGCATCACTGTCTAAAGATCGTTGATGCAAACAAATAGAATTGAACCTTATTCCTGCTAGAAATGGGTCTGTCTTCTGATGTCTTCATATTAACAATTATAGTTGAAATCTGTCAGAAGGCCTGTCTTCATCTGTTCAGTCATTTCATATGACATACATTTGTCAAGAAAGATGTCTTGTGGTAGGAAGTTAAGTACACTGACAAAATCCAAGTGTAATGTATTGCTTTATCTAGAAGTCCCATAATATTTTTAATTCAATATTACTGTGAGTTTGATGTATTCTTTCAAATAGCCATTTCTGTTAAGAAATTTCTGAATACCAACATTGTTTTAAGTTTTCTTGAACTGAATTTAAGCACTAGTGGCTCAGCGCTAGCTATTCTTTATGTTGTTGACTGATTTCAGCAATAGGTCCTTGGAGTTGCAAGACATAAATGACTTGGTGGTGGTTTGCTTTGTTGGTACAAACTTTTAACAGATCGTGATCACTGCAGTGATCCAAAAGTAAATTTAAAGTAAGCTGTTGACTCTTCATTGTGCATCTGCCACTATTGTCTGCTTTCCCATGTGGGATTACTGTTAATATCTGTTAAGTGCATTAAGTAATGGTCTCAGTACATAACATACATTTTTAACTTATACTGAAATTTAGATTTTGAAATTTGATTCTAGACCCTTTTGCGTATGTTTGCCACATCAGTCAACTTTTAAGACTCAATTTGCTAATGACAAAACATGACTTCAGATTTCCTCTGATCTGTAGTTTTCTGCTGAAGTTGTTGTTATACATACAATTCTGCCAAACACATGGAAATGTATGAACTGACTTCCTCATCTGGTCTACTGCCCTGTTTTTGAAGTTGTCAACAGGAGAGCTTTCAGTGGAAGTCCAGAGGAAACCCTGATAGATAATTATGAGAAGAGTCATTCTAACTGTTGTTATCGATTTACTTATTTAGTAAGGTGCCATAAATTATATTATCCCCACAAAAAAAAGCCAAGCAACTAAAAAAATCCAATAAAAACAAACCAGCCTCTCTCCCCCCCCCTCCAATAGACCAAACCAATATCTTTGTAACTGTAAATATTGTTCTGACTTAATTTTTAAAGCACAACTGTTCTCAGCATCTAATGTTAATAGAGGTCCCTTCCACAGTTTCCTTCAAGCACGACTCATCCTTCACGTGTTGTTGGCATCCCACTATCCTCCCAACCTGGAAGATGTCTGAAGAAGTTTTCCTTTGCTTTATGAAACCTTTTCTGGGTTGTACTCAATCATGATGCCTTACTTGTTTTTCTCTATAGGTCATTTGGTTCAGACTCTACTCCTGAAATTGGAATTAGTGCTTGAGCTTTCACTCAGTGTCTGTTTGCTCCTTCACTGCTGGTGTGCTACATAGGGAAGCACACATGGTTTAGCATCTCAGTCTATGAAGGAGTGTGAAGCTCATTGGCCTTGTTTCCACAAATTATTGCTTTATATGCTTTAATTGCGACATGACAAAGCCATAGCTCACCTTCATAGAGTGAAATCTTTCTCCTTCACCTAATGGCATCACCTCTTAAGAGATTTATTTTTTTTTTTTTATAATTCCCAGGATCAGAAATACAAATGGGGGATCCCACAACCACATCTAGCCAACAGCATTCCCTCTGCCATTTTTCTTCCTCCTACCCTACAGTCCGTTGAAGAGACTTTAAAAACTAGGGAGGAGGATTACAATGCTTAAGGCCTTCAAGTATGTCCCTCATTCCCTACTGACCCAGAAAAACAGAATCTCCTGAGAGAATTGCTTACGGCTTTTCTGGAACCTATGTTAGTTATCTTCTATCAAATAAATTATACTGGAAGCTATACTACTGTTGGCTATGCAGTTATATTATTAGTATTATTTTCACTTTGACATGTGGCAAATATCTCCTTAAAATATCTGAGGAGATGTCATTTTCTGATGACTCTTCATGAAATCTTGGCTCTAGGCAGGCTGAATGCAGAGCTGAAGCATTTGGACTGTGGAGACTGGCAGGGCTAGGAATACAGATCAGTTTTGTTCTTACTGCATGTTAGCACTTGAACTGCAAGGCAATTTGCTGCTAGAACAATTGGTCTGAGCTTAAGTGCATTGATGCACTTATTGATGCACTGATGATACTGAAGTGTTGCTAATCAACATTTTCATTAATCTGCATTGCCTTAAACGAGGCAAGAATAAATATGTTCTTACCATTAACACAAGATGTGATAGTAGGGCAGAGTCTTATTATTTCTAGCCACATCTCACAGATAGCTTTATGCTATATTGTTCTCAGAGAGGACCATCATTTAGCACTTGCATGATGAGCTCCCTGTTCCAAATGTTTGTGATAATTGGCAATATTATGCTCTGATGAGGTCATACGGGAATCTGTAAGATAACAAGCAAACTAAGACAGGAAAAAGCGTATAAATCACACTTATTTTTTAAATCTCATGACTTCTGAAGGTCTGACACAGTGTACCTGTAATAATTGTGCTGTTTTAAATGCTGTATTAACAATATTTTACCTCTAATGGTAGAGTACAATGGTAAGCATAAAGATCAATTGACTCAATTGCTGTTGTACTCTGTTAACAGTAGGAACAGAGCATAAAGGTATTCTTAAAGTGACAGAAACAGAAGAGAATGGAGCGAAGCAGAAGAGCAATCTGTCAGTGGTCTGGGAGCTTCTCAGTCAACTAATTTTGTTCTAAAGTTAACCTCCATATTCTTTCAGTTGATGAATAATTTCTTCTCATCTCTAGCTACAGTTTGTGCTATATAATAAATAGAGGGATTACTATCAGGTGCTGCTGCAAGCCTGCAGTCATTTCTTAAGCTTGATCTTTATATTTTAACTTTCAGCTGAGTCCAGAGTGGAGCATTTATGGATTCTTCCAGAAGTGCCAGATTTTTGTGATTCAGAAGCTGTCCCAGAGATTTATACTTCAACACTTGCTTTACAAATTGAAATAATTCTGAAAGAAACTAAGCACACAGATGTGTTGCTTGATGCGATAGTGTGTCTGTCTCATCTTTCTGATCTCTATGTTATCTAGGGTCATGCAAGAGTTACTTACATAATGCATTGCATGTGGCCCGCAGGGGGTTTCAGCAGCATGCCTGTGATGTATGGGCACTATCAGCTCCATAGATTGTATCTAAGCTGTTCCTTCATTTTAAAGTGTTGCTTTCTCTTCTTTTCAAATTATTTGGAAAGATGCACATATTTTATAGGGATTTCTTTTTGTATCTACTCTGTTAGTTCTGCACATATTCAGCCAGGTCTGATGTCACGTTTCCATGACAATTCTGCACAACTGCATTTTAAAATGCACGACTGGTAATCTTCTGGCACTCTGAAATACCTTCATAAGTAAATGAGAGCCCGAGTGTACTAACATCACAATAACATCACGGCCACTACCTGGATAAAGTGTTTAATCACACTGAATCAACATTTGTCTGACTTACTGTCCTTATAAATGCAAGCATGTGTCACAAGCTAACTGCCAGTGGTCAAAAGCAAGATGTTAAAATTCAGAGAAACAATATAGACGATGTATTCTTAAGCAGGCAGTAACTAAAGTCACTCAGACATCCCATCTGTGTCTTAAGCATGTGACATTGCCAGGAGCATCTCCTTTGTTTGCCAACATCTGGCAGACCAGATGTTGCAACTGGAGGAATTCTTTCCACTGCTCTGCACCTTGGAGCAGCAGGGTGTGATGTACCATGGGGACTGTGCCTTCCACACCTTGCTCTGCGGCATTTTCCCTTCTACTTTTCTTTCTGAGGAGAAAAAAATCATACAAATCCACCATAGGAAGTAAAACACATTTGTTAAAGCCATGGTAATGTTAGCCTAGTAATACTGTATTTTGGCAGTGCGATCAATGAAATTCTTTTCTAGTCTCAATTTGAGTAATACTTTCCTTTTCTTGCAGATGGTCCTGTGTCTGTTGGAATGAGTCTGGATATTGCAAGCATTGATACCATATCAGAAATAAATATGGTATTGTAGCTTTTATAATCTTTTTGTTTTGTCAGTTGGTAAGCTAATGTCTTGTGTTTACATTTGCTGGCAATGTGACTGAGGTTTTTCCTCTTGATTGGTAGGAGAAATAATTTAATTCTTCACTGTAGATGGGAGATTATAGCACTATAGTCAGTACTGAATTGCAAAGGACAAGATTTCTAGACTAAAATCTGTACTGATGGAAATCAGATCACTTGTAGATATAAACAGAAATTTGCTACTGAGTATTAATCTTAATTAAAGCCATATAGAACAGTATTTGTTTTCCAAATGAAAAGTCTAAATCCCTACACATTTCAGAGAATTAGATATATTTGCATGTGACTCTGAAGCCACTCCCTTTCCTTTTGTTTAGAAACAATCATAATATTTTTTCTTTTACTGTCACATTAATTTATTCCAGCTGTTTCGTTAGATTTGTATCTGTTCTTTTTGAACAAACTATGAAATGGAGTATACTTCTCTAATTAAAGATCTGCTCTTGCTGTGTAGAAACAAAAGACAAAATTCATTATTCACGTATTCAATAGTGGAAAATAGGGATATGTGGATAGTAACACATCTTACCATTAAATTACTCAGACTTCTAGATAAATGGAATCTGAGAATTCCTCTTGTACTTGGCAAGTATTCACAGGTATTTAGAAAAGGAAAAGTAAGCTCTGAGCTAAAGATTGAGTTATCATGATGATTAAAATACACCATAACATCAAAAGTTGATTAAAAACATGTTAAGAAAAAGTGTGGTTTTAATGTTAGACTACAAGGCATACTCAGATTGCAGGTGAGTTGTCCTGAGAGCAATCTTCAAGGTCTCTATAGGTTTGGCGCTGCTGTTTCCCTGCTCTTGTTACAAAGATATATTCAGCTAAGAGGTGATGATATCTTTAATATATTTCCATAACTTCCTATTACACTTCATTCTTTTGCCATTATGAATGTGAATTTATACAACTTTTTCCCACAGTTTTCTTAAAAATGCATTATTTAATGGTTTATGTGAACAAAATGCTGTTTGCAACCACTTATATAAATCATTGTAAGATTTAAAGATTTACAAAGACAGATTATCTGCTGTCAAAACTCTGATGACTTCAGCTGATTTATGGCCCCAGGCTGAGGCCCTCAACATTTACTGTAAAATTTCAATGACCTTAAGAACAAAATCTACTCGAGATAATATTTCTTAATGACAACAACATCACTTCAAGTGCTGGAAAATGTGGCCATATGAGGGCCTGTGCTACTGCTGTCCAAGTGCCTGCATTTATGATTGGGATACAAAGAGTCTCAGAATATCATGCTCAGCAGCTGGTTCCGTGCACTTTAGTAACATGGAATAATAATGATTTGTTTAAGTGATATATATATATATATACACACACACACACATATTTTTATATATTTTTACATATTGTATTTCAGGATTACACAGCAACCATATTTCTGAGGCAGCGGTGGACTGATGAGAGGCTTTGTTTTGATGGCAATAAGAGTTTAAGTTTAGATGGTCGGCTTGTGGAAATGCTCTGGGTTCCAGATACTTTCATAGTTGATTCAAAGAAGTCTTTTCTTCATGATATCACTGTTGAGAATCGTTTGATAAGAATATACCCTAATGGAACAGTCTTGTATGCTATAAGGTATGTATGTATGTACCATATGCCAGCCTTTGTGTTTGGCTTCTGGTTACACTTGAAGCTTTTCAGGTTAGCATGGTTTTATGCTTTAAAAGCTGTTCTATTTGTAGAAGTAGAATATACATAGTTTTATAGTTTTACAAATATGTAATATGGTTGATTGATATAATTAAATTATTAGATGTAATGCCAGGTCTCATTTTCAGACCTTTTAAAAGGATACCCTTCCATACCCTTTAAAGGGATAGATCCTTTTGCTTTTGTGCAGACCAAACACAGGAATTGTCCCTTCTGCTATTGCAGTTGTTTCGTTGTTGAATCATCACAGAGGAAGGAAGCTACAGTGACTGATTTGTTATTTATTGCAGAAGACTTCACGATTCAATAAAGTCACATGGCTTATTTTTGTTCTTACTGATGAAGTTTTATCCCCATAATAATCAGTGTTACTCTGTTTTTCAAGGATTACCACAACTGTTGCATGCAGCATGGACCTGACCAAATACCCAATGGATAAGCAGACGTGTACCTTGCAACTGGAAAGCTGTAAGACAAGTTGTTCTTAGTATTTGTATACCGCTAGAGAAATATCTGTGAGTGATCATTTCCACAGACCGCTGGCTGTTAAGTATTACTGAAGAGGCTGGAGTATTCATAAAAGCCAAGTCACAACACGTGAAATAATTAAAATAAAATCAAAATAGTATTTTCACTCTCAGATAAACTTGTGAAGCTGTACTGAAATACTAACGTTAAATAAAACCAAGGGAGATGCCACTAGGTCTGTTCTGCAGGAATTGCTGCAGTTATTCTGTTGATCTCTAGGGGGGGTTCTTTGAGCAGGCATTTTTCAGCACTGCTGAGGAAATATGTTTTTCAGTCATTTTTGCCTCTTTTCTCACTTTCAAATATTGCGATTTTTTTTTTTTTTTTACCTGAAAGAAAGAAATTAGGATAAGACTTATTTTTAAGGCATAGAGTTCATATTTCATTAACTTACTGTCTTCATATTGAAAAAAGAGTAATTGGATAGAGAGTTCTGTTCAGAGAGGGGAAATACAGAGATCCTTCTATGACTTATTTTAATTCTCTCTGTGACAGTGCTGTGGGAAAAAAATGTCATAAGCAGAAGGACCAACACTAAATCTCCTCTTTTAAGTTCTCACTGCATCTCTGAATGTCCATGTATTTTTTTCATTGAAATGCTTTCTAATCATGGTCACTTTGCAGTGGTTATCACTGTGTACGTTTAAAGTTAATTCAATTGTTAAGACAATATCAAAATATTTTTGTTTGTTTGTTTTTGGGGATAATGCAGAGTGACGCCTAAGAGGTGCTCTATGAGATAGGAAAAAAAAAAGTCAAATATTTATTAATACATATTCAAAATGTTCTTTTGGAAAGTTTTCAAGTACTTATTGAGTTTTATTCTTTAGCACTTCAGAACTGTGTGAGTGTTCATCATTTGTGTTGGTAATGACCAATTATAAGATGGCTTATGAATCAAAGGGAATCAGCCCCAAACTTTCCTCACACAGCAGTCCCTTTGGAATCAGAAGTTTTATGGCGATAAGATCTGTTTAACAGTGATTCCAGTAAGAATTTGTTTTAATCTCCAATTTGTTTTCCTTTGGAAGAACATACTGGTAAGTCACAATATAGGGCTTTATATTAAACACATGGCTTAATGAGTCATATAATATTCACTTCCAGGATGAAATATATGTCCCACCAGAACATAGAGCTTTAAAAAAGACATGATTTATTAAAAAAAAAAAAAAAAAAAAAGCAAATTCCCCATATAATTAAAAATAAACATTGTTCTGAATGATTCCATCTGCTTTGTCAAAGCTCACAAGCATCTGCTGTCCAAGGGAAAAACTTAGCAATGTCATCACAAAAGCTCCCATGTCATTTGTATTTAGTTTTGAGGAGAGCAGCTAGAAAGAGTGAGTGCAGAAGGAAAGAGTCTATCTTTAGCCGTGGCCCTTTTCTTCAGTGCACTGTAATATTTTCTTACAGATACACTGGAAATGGTGCTTGCTTCCTCATGAAATAAGCTACATCAGTTAATAGGCAAATTATGACATCATCATTACTTGCAAATACCATTATATGAAGTTAAGAATGGTGAATGCAAATGTAAATACACATCCATACAGACGCTCCTAAATAAAATATAAAATATGTAGCAGGTATTTCAGCTGAAATGAGGTGTGTTAGATGTTAAACACTGATGTAAAGGCAAACATGCCATGATATTGTGGTTTTACACAGTAAAATGCCTCTAGTGGTCTCTACAACATACTCTTTTATTGTTAGTAGGCAATAGCACAAATTATGTTCTACTTTCTACACAGTGAGGCACTTTAGAAATTTCGGGCTCTATAGCTTTTTCCCATTTTTGCAGTGCTTCAGAATATTGTGGAGCACCAGTTAGTGCTTTAGGAGTGTTTGTGTTCACGGCCCTGTGGGAGGTAACACCAGCAGTCATTCATAAAGGGCTGGGGGCTTTTTTCCTCCCTTTATCCATCCACACAGGCTGGTTCATGTACATATTCATTTGTGGGCCCATCTCTGAAGTTTTATTTCCTTTTTCATCTCGTCCTTTACCATTTATGCAGTGAAGAGCCATGTGAAGGCACTCAGCTTGTGCTTGACAATCAAGAGAAATTAAAATTAGCAACAGAATGGTAAAGAAACTCATTTGTATTAGGCATTATGAATATTTAATCCCAAATTTACTATTTCTGTGGTTAACCCTGTTGAAGGTAGCTGTTCACACCATATCAACAAAGCACAGGAATGAGACATTTTGGGCGTGAGGAATTAGTGAGAAAGAAAACTCAATGTAGTGTTAAAAAAAGAGATTATTTGTAAAATATCATAGTTTAAGGTTCTTGTCTATATATTGTCTATAATTTTACAGTTAGTCAGGTATTAATTCCCCGAATAAAGTATAACATTACACAAAGGGAGCACTGTGCTGTTTAATTTTACTGACTCTTGGGAAGACTCAGGAATCTCTTCACAAATAGAGTTTTGGAATTAGTATTTCGAAGGTATTATTGCATGTAGGATGACAAAAACCTCCTAATTATTCAATTGGTGAAGATACTTTGGAATGAGCAAAAGAACCTCCACCTGAAGATACGCTTGTTTACCAGTTAAACAAGTAGGTTGATAACCAGCATAGTGTTTCCTTGAAGTGACATTTCTGAACTCCCTGTTTTTCCCACATAAAATGGCTGTAAGAGGTTCAGTACTTTCTTGACACTGTAAGAGCTGGCGCCATTATATTGAGTATAAAAGTGCTCTTTTTTATTTCTGTGATTCTAGAGCTTTGTTCTTTCAGCAGTACGTACCCTTGTGCAATGTATTGCATTATTGTCTCTGAGTGTAATTTACTTACAATTGACTGGAGCCTAAAAATAATCATCTACTTGTGGTTCTGTGCCCTAAGCTTAGCTATTAACTTGCACAATACAAGTCTGTCAAATGCAAAAATGATTGATCTAAGAAAGCTAAAGGAAAAGATGTTCAAATTCTCCCTGTTAATATGTAAATTACATTAACATAATCTTGAATTAATCATATACACTAGTCTGAAAATTGCCTGCCTTTTAATATAATGGGAAAAAGCTACAGAGGTATTTTAGCAATAATTGTGATGCATATTGACAACTTCAGCACCTAGGCTGGTGTCCTTGGAAAGGGGCTGAACTCCTGAGCCAAGATCCATCCCAAGTGATGACCCAAGCCCAGATTGGAGTGCAGCTCTGGAATGTGGGTCTTCAGCTCTTCGTTTCTACTGATGGGAAGACTAAATACACTGTAGCGACCAAGAAAGCATCCTGGGAATCCTCAAAGGGCATGCTCAGCTTTTTGTCAAATGCTGGCATTGTTGTGGTTCCTAAAATCTTTAAAGCTTTGTAGCTTTTGCTTTTTAAATGCCATGTGGTACTACTCTCTTTTGTTAGTTTATGTATATACTATATACATAAACTATGTTCATGTATACTACAATAAAAGACATAAAAAGGATTGTCTCCAAAAAAGACAGCTTTTAAATGGTAAGAATTTGTCCATGTTCAGTCTTTGGGAGTTTTATTGCAAACAAGCATTAACATTCTGCCGAAAGTTGTGTTGTTTATGTCTCATCGTACTTTCAGGCAGATGAATAAGAAACAGCTGACCCATAACTGCTCTGCACAAATTAATTATTGTGTAAAATAAAAAAACGTTGCCTTGTGTACCTCTACAGGGGGTTACAATATCAACGATGTCATGTTTTACTGGACTAGAGGAAATGATTCTGTTCGTGGATTGGACACACTCCAGCTGGCACAATACACAGTGGAAGACCACTTTACTTCAGTATCTGAAGCAGTATATGAAACAGGTAAAAAAAACCCTTATAACGTGTTCTAGATGTGGTTTGGAATATGGCTCTGGAAGCAGTACAACATTGAGGAGCTTAGTTGATGCTTACTTTTTGAATGACATTTTTTGTTTTCTGTTGGATTACATTATTGAAACTGCACACAGTTCTGTCAGGTGTTGCCAGCAGAGACCTGCTACTGTAAAGGCTGAGACCTTGAAAGCATTTTCTTGGAGAACATTCTTTTGGAGATCATGCATTACCTAGAGAATAATGAGCAACACATACATTACTCATTCTGCTTGATGCTGGGGAGAGTTCTTATGAGGGAATAAGAGCCTGTAGGTTGGGCATTTAGATTTGAGACCTTTGACTCTGGGTGCTCAGTTGAGGACAGTTTCTAGCCTTTCTGGAAATAGCCAATCTCGTTTTGTTAGAAAAAACAAAAGCCTCTTTTCAGCCATGGAAATTTCTGTGACTATGTTGGGTGCTCTTATAGCTGCAAGAAGTTGGGCTTCATTGCTAGTGCATGTAGGGATTGCTTCTTACCTTTGATGGCTTCTGTCCAGCGTGTGGGCAGCAGAGTGCAGATCACACATTGTTAGTGTGCCCAAGAAAGGATCGGAAACATTTCCATGGACCTGTAGGACTTGGTCTCTTTTCTCTCCTTCAGAAAGATTTCTGAGGTTTCCAGGTGTGCAAAAACTACTTTCTGCTCCTTGAGTTGCTCTCAAGTTCCTCATTGCTGTTATTCATTGTGTAATTCAGTTTCTCTTCTGCCCACGCCAACAAGCCAACTGCTGATCTCCATGTGAGGTCACGTGCATCCTTCAAACCTTCAGTTTCACTCAGAGTCTGTTACTAACTCTGAATTATGGAGATATTGTTTCAGTATTCCATGGTTGGATATTTCTACTTTAACGATACAGCACAGAGAAACTTCAGGATCTGATTTCAGGCATTAGTTGGACTGAAAGCCCAAGTTTTCTAAATGAATATGACAGTAGAAATGAAACACGTAATAGCAGGCTTCAGGATCACAAAGTATCTTGCTACTTACATAACTGACATCTGCTTGCCTTCCTCCTCTCTGCAGCTTCAGGCTGAACAGCATCAGACTCCATCAGAGAACGATTCTCTACTGCTCTTCTGCCCAGAAGGGTATTAGGACCTGTTCACTACACAGGAAAAAAGGAGAGGAAACCTGCTTAATTCTTATCAACTTCTTTTATTTATCAACCTGCCTGTTTATTGATTTGTGACAGATTTTAGACTCTGGCATAATGTTGTTTTTTACGAGGTGGAATAAGAATGATCTCCAATGACTAGGGGCATGGTCTGGATTAGGCATGCTCTTCAGTAAATGATGCTGTCTTCTTCCCCTCACGTTGGCAGCAGTAATATGCATAAAGTCAAAATCTGCTCTGATTTAATATGTTGTAATGCTTGCAGCTTAATTTGATTAAGATTTCCCACCTCTACTTGTTTCAGTTCTCCCGTTTAAGAAAGCCACATTCTCAAGTGCTCTACTGTACTTTTAAATGAAATCCCATAATCGTCTTCATTTTCTGCTGCATCTATGATGGAGGAGCTATTTTCTGTGTATTTCCTAGGAAAGCAGTGCCTACTTTAACCCATATTAAAAGAAGAGCCCCCACAAGTTAAGAAACTGTGTAATCAATTTGGAGAGGAAACTTTATGCTTTGCATTTTCAGACATTATTAATCACATTAAAAAAAGTATTTTATAAATAACAGTTGTGATTCACAAGGCTGATGCGAAAGATATTAGAGAAGAGCAGTGCTGTTGTATTTCCTAACATAGCAAAAAAAGCAATCAAAATTTGATACTCTGTGAACTTGAACAGACAGTACAGCTGTTCTGTAAGTGAAATATTGTACAGTGATGGAGAGCCCAAGTTCACGTACAGCTGTGGACAAAGCCAAGATTAGAATATGGTCAGCAAAATCCCTGCATAAGCAACTTCAGTATACTTAAGAAAAGGACTGCATGGATTAATCTTGTTTATAGAACACTGTGTATCACATAATAGTAATCATGTTATAATAATCACATAATACGAAGTGGCTTTGTATAATATTAACTAGAGGGCTGGCTGGAGTTTTGTGCTGTTTCTGCCTTGCTACAAAGTAATTTAAATTTGGACATAAGTAAATTCATTGCTAGAACCACTTCCTGCATGTCTTTAACTATAATCCTTATTCTGCAAACACTGGTACATGTGCTCTTGGACCCCAAAACCATGTGAGTGCATCAGTGGTGGCTGGCTTTTTATTTTAGTTGTCTAGCCAACACCACCTGCATCCTCAGAGTAACAAATAGTGATGTAAAAATCTTGCATTTATTATTGGAAAAACATGAAAGCAGTTAAAGACTGTTACAGTCTAGCTTTTTGTGTAAATAATGATAGAAATAAGGTTGGAATAGACTTTAACAATTCACTTAATCTGTTCTTATGTCCCAAGACAAGCTCATCTATATCAACAACGCACTTCCTGACAGATGTTCTTAGCAGTAAATTAGACAAACCTCCAACATGTCTACTCCTCAGCCTTTCTAGATTAATTTTTTTTCTGGTGATTATGCAAACATATTTTCCTTGTGTCTAATCTTGATCTCCCTTGCTACGTTTCAGACCCATTATGCACTGCATTGTCTACTGTGGATAAGAAAGACAAATTTCCTGCTGCTTTTCAGCAACCTTTCCCCATTTCTCATACTAATATTTTCCTTCTCTTTAATTCACATAAACAGTTTTTCTATTGTTCTTCTATTGTTATCCTTATTGTTCTTCCATGGACTTTCTCCTATCTTTGCTGATGTGCAGCACTCAAAATTCAGTGCCCTGAAGTCCTCTGTAGAACTAGGGGATTACTTCACACATTTCATGAACTCTGTTCCTCTTTATCTACTTTAGGTAGACTTTTGCTTTTCTTGCAGAAAATTCCTGTGCACTGCTGACCTCGTTTTTCAGCTTTTCAGCTAGTAATTCCTGTCTGAGGGCAGGACTTTTACTTCTATTGAACTGCATCTTCTTTTGCTGAGGCTGTTTCTGATATTTGTCGTTATAATTATGAGCACAGGTCCTGTTCTCCAATGTGCTGACTGTCGTCTCTGCTTGGTATTTCTAGGTATGCTACGGTGTGCTGTCCTGTTTGCCAGTGAGCAATTCTGGGTGCAGGACAGACCCACATGGATTATATTTTCACAGCAAGTCATAGCTAATGAATCTCTCTTAACACTTCTAATCAATGAAAGAAGCAAAAAGGGGTTTGATTCCTCAGGATAGTTGGCTGCTGCTAACTCTCCCTCTGTGCTGACTGACAACTTCCCTTAGCCTTGCTCTCACTGCTGCACTACCGCCAAGCCCTCAGAAGCAGCAAGGGTGATGAGCTCAGTGTGCTCAGCCGAACACGGAGTCCTCAACCCCTGTCCAGAAGCCAGGGAGAGTTTTTTCATGCAAACCTTTCCACTTAGCAACTGTGAAGTCAGCAAGGTCGCGCATCCAAGTGCTACTACTTTGGCAGAACAAAAGGATGGACAGAAGCATAAAGTCAGCCTCCTGTCCTTGATTCACACAGATAATAAAGCATTTGCCTTTCTGAAAAAGCCTGCAAAGGGAGCTGGCTGCTGCCGCATGTCTGCAGTCTGTCTGCAGTGTTTTTCACAGTCTTTCTCACAAAACAGAGGTATTACCTTGCTCAATCTTTCTCACTGCTCTGCAGTTTCTTATTAGTTAGCAATCAAACTTTTCTAGGATTTTCAGTTTTCCTTTTTCATGATGCAGTACACTGAGTAATTTATGTCATTCCCTTTGTCTGTTCTTTTATAATCTGCAATTGCTCTCCAATTGTTACTTCTGATATTGTCGTCTTTGCCATGCAGGCCTTAAAAACAATCTCAGAAGTGCAGTCAGCACAATCTTATGTGAGGACTATCTGGTCAGACTCACTTAAGATTCAAGCAGTTGCATATTCATGTATCTATTGCCAAGTACGTGCAACTTGCCTTGCTGAGCTCGTTGCTCGGATAATCGTTCTTTTTAAGTGGAGTTTTCCATTTGAAGAATACAAAACTTTCCATCATTTGATCTTTTTCTGATAGTTCTGTGGTGCTTCACAGCATATATTGAAGCTGCAAAACAGTTTAGAAGGAGAGCAGTTATGGAAAATGCATTGAAGATATGATAGCAACATAAAAACATATGGAAAGGCAATGATTTGAATGAACAAGGATGCTAGGAAGAGGGGATTTTTTGCTAACTTCTGGAAAAGTTGTTTGTACTGCAAACAAAAATACAAACACAGGGAAAACTTCCTGTGGCATAATTGTTTTTGTAAGGGTTTTTGTAGAAAAGCTAAACAGGCAGACATATCTGCACACAAATACTATATGAAAGTGTTTGTTTCTTAGGAAATTTGAATTTTCTAACTCTATTTCTGTAAAACATTTTTGTGAAGATGAAGCACATGTTGAGAAGCCTCTCCTGATCTTTCTTTTCCTTTAGTTGACCACTGAAAGGCAAGTAGGAAAAGAGGTAGTTTGTAAGATCCTGACTGTGAGCAGTGGAAGGTTATGTTGAAAAATATTGTTTCACAGCTGAGAATTTGCTCTATCAAATAATGTGCTCTTCGAATCTGTTGTAGTTTACATGGAAATAAATAGGAAGCATTACTTTTGGAGTGACCTAAGCATCCTAATTTCCAATTCTCAGGGAAGTTGCATTACATTGGCACAACTTATTTGTTGGGTGAAATTGGAGACACTGCTATTTTGTGTATTTGTTGTAATCAAGCAAAAAAATTGCATACTGAAAATTACTATTTTGGCAAATAGTTAGACACTAAAGTTATATCCTGTACTGTTCCCTTAAGAGATGCAAGCAGAGAAGAAAGTGATACATCGGTAGGGTTGTACTGATGAGCTTGTGGGAGATGTACATCACACGTTTTAGCTGGCACCCAAGGAGTGATCATACATATTTAATGATAGGGAAGGATGTGCTCTTTGTGCCTGACTGCACACTCTGTGCAGGACACCAAAGTGCTTCTTACATAAAGAGTGATGTAGAGCTTTCTTTTGCGGGTGTAGAATTCATCAAAAAGTCCATAGGAAGCAACTGTGGGAAGATGCTCCCATCCCACAACACCTGAAGTCAGGAAACGAGGTCATTATGGATCACGAGTCCTTCCTTCAGGCTCCTCTGCTGTGAGTTTCTGCTGGCAGGGGGACCAGAAAGAGCAGGGATGCAGCATTCTGCTGTTAGATTTTTGCTTAATTACAAAATGGATGATCTGGAATGATAATGATGCATGTTTATTTAAGCCAAATTTCCAAGGCAAATTGGAAGAGAAATAAACTGTCTTCTCTCACATTCAGAAAGATCTGCCTTAGACCTATATGTATTCTACTAATGGGGGACAAATGCCATGCTGGTATAATTTTTACGACTCAAAAAATGAAGAAGTCAGCTGGAACCACCTGAAATTCCCTGAGGATGGAGAATCCTTGCATTTTCTTGGGTGCTCTTCTTTAAAGCAGTAGAGAGAGCTGGAAAATATAGAGAGACGGCAGTCTGCTACCTAGATTTGTATTTCATCTCAGCTAGAGCTACTGTCTAGTTTTTTACGTCTGTTCTCTAGTGAATTCTATAAAGCCAAAGAAACTCAGCTTAATGTTCTTTCACTGTGAGGTAACATAAGTAAAATCACCTCATCTTTTTGTGGGTTAAGAGTAGGTGCAGAGACAGCCATTCAAGTTCAACACATATTTGACAATCTATTGAATGCAGTAATGTGAGACCTTAGTAAGTGCTAAAGCTCTGCGTCTGCTGCAGAATTAGCTGTCTGCACAGAGATTATTTCCAGCAGATTATCATATCTAAATTGGAGCCATCACACGTTGAGGTGACATCTGTCATGGGCCAGAAACTTGAATAAAAAAGTCTCTGTTCATTTAAATGCAAGCATTTTGTTCTCAGTCAGTCGAGCAGGGTGCAGGCTTGTCACTTTAGGAGTTAGCCTGTCCTGTACTTGAGTTAACTACAGTAAAGGCAGGATTAGTACTGCAGTGCACCTGTTTCATTTTTGATCTGATTATGGCACCAGAGCCTTAGGTATACAAGTCAAAGTGGATGAGATAAGGTTGTTATTCATCATTATTATCTCACAGGTAACACACATAATAGCAGTGGTGAATCAGTTTACTTTTAAACATGATAACTTTTGGTACATATGGAGAGTGGAGAACTCATTATTTTGTCATATTTTAGCATGGTAAGTATGCATTACATACTTTTTCTTGCCTCCTTCCTTCAGTTTATTTCAGAAGGAGCTTATTGAATCTTATATATAGGTTGCATCAAATTTTCCATTATAAAGGCTCTTCTGAGCTCTGTGTAGAAATGCTGACACCATTATTATCATCCCCCTTTGCATTCTGGCAAGCAGAAAGCCTTAAGGTTAAAGAATTGCCTTTTCTTTGTTCCCGGAAAAGCCACTCAGCTGTAAGCTTTCACATCTCTATTTCTCTTTGTTGTTCGCATTGCTTCAGAAATGTATGGCATCATGAAAAATAACACCAAAGAACACCAATGAACATTCTAAATGCTTGTCCACACTCTGAAATTATGGCAAAATGGCAAAGGCTGACTTTAAAGTTTGATATTTTAAACTAACTTCCCACATACGCAGTTTTATGCTCAGATAAATAGAGTTGCTGGGAGATAATGAGGGGAGGATTTTGCTGTATGACCACTCAGTATTGCCTGTTTCAGAGTTTTCCTCTAAGTTTTAAACTTCCTAACTTTTGAGTGCTTTACTTTGACGTACTCTGCACTTTGAATCAATTTTGGTACATTAAGTGGATGACATGGTAAAAATCACAGTACTGATAGAGGTACACTAACTTAGTGCCCCCTTTTTCACTTTAATATGATGATAATGGTATAAATAATCTTTGCACCTCCTGCCTCATGGACAGATAAAGTCTACTGCCCATTTGTGTATCCCTTTTTCCATCAGCCAGAAGCTTGTTGAACTCAACATGCTAAACTTACGAAGAAGAAGCCTAAATACAGTATATTTTTATCTTCAGAAGGAGAATGAACTGCCTACCAAAGGACTGTTTAATCCAGTAGTGAAATTGCAAAGGCAGAAAGCTGAAGTCAAGTTAAGATTAGAAATTAGAAATACTTTTTTTTTAATACATTATTTTAATCCATGTAACAGGTTATTTGGTGGATGCTTCATGTCTTGATACGTATAGAGCTCATACGGGTTGATTGATTGAAAGTCTTTCTGTGAGTTGCTCTTTCACAATATTTTTTCATGCTCTTTTCACAGGACGCTACCCCAAGTTAGTGTTTCACTTTGAGCTCAAAAGAAACATCTTGTATTTCATACTAGAGACATACGTACCATCAATTCTCCTGGTTGTGCTCTCCTGGGTGTCATTTTGGATAAGCCAGTCATCCGTTCCAGCCAGAATCTGCATAGGTAAGAAACTGATGAACCAAAACTAAGCCTCTTCTTGAGAGCATGAGAGATAATGGCTTTAGGCTGTGTCAGGCTATGTTCAGGTTTGGTATTAGGAAAAATTTCTTCTCAGAAAGCATGGTGAAGCACTGAACAGTCTGCCCAAAGAGGTGGTGGAGTCACTATCCCTGGAGTTGTTCAAGATGTGGTACTGAGGGTAGTGTGAGTACTGATGGGTAGATGTGGTACTGGGGGATGTGGTTCAGTAACCATGGTGGAGATGGGTTGGTGGTTGAACCACAAGGTCTTAGAGGTCTTTTCCAACCTTTATGGTTCTAGGAAACAGAAGTCAGAAGATTGATTTCTTTATTGGAGGTATTTGGCATGGATTTCCAAAAGGTGCAGACACTTCTGAGTTTCATGAAACTGTTTTTCCAGTTTGCTGTCTGCAGCACATCGTAGAGATTCCCCTGGAAGCCTTGCTATTCTGTAGCAAAGCAAAAGTCCTTGGGAGCTACAGGAGACCCAGAGGCAGGGAAGGCTGCTGGAAGCAGAAGAAAACTCCATCATTTTGGGAATAATTTCAAAATATTCAAGTGCATGTCATCTGCAGACAGAATTCTGAGTTGTGTTTTTTTTTTTTTTTTTCCATGAAGGTGAATGCTACATACTAATTAACACATGAATAGTAAGAGAATTGTGAGATTAAGTATAGTTAATTGCAAGTAAAGGAGATTCTGAAAGGGAAAAATGCAGATCAGTTCTGATCAGACTGCAGGTGGGGTAGGGAAAACACTTCTATAGAATAGCAAAGACAAATTTCACTTTAAACGAGGCTGATGGACAGCTGGACTGAACAAAATGATATCTGAACGTTTTAATGGAAGCATTTGCATAGTATTGCAACGTGTTAATAATAAATATACTTCCTATGACATGAAAATCCTTCCCATTCTAATTTCCCATCTTCTCAGCTTTCCAAACACTTTTCTTCAGTATTTTTAATGTCTTTCCAAAACATGTCACGTGAAATGCTGTGGCATATTAGGAGTTTATGAAGCTCAGGAAAGAGTATCTTGTGGATTACCAAATGCAATGGAAGGCCTCGTTGCTATCTTTGTTTTATCAGAATTTATATTTCTGTGTCCCACAGGTGTTACCACAGTCCTCACTATGACAACGCTGATGATGGGAGCCAGGACTTCACTCCCAAATGCTAACTGCTTTATTAAGGCAATTGATGTGTACCTTGGCATCTGCTTCAGTTTCATCTTTGGAGCATTGTTAGAGTATGCTGTGGCTCATTTCTGCACTCTGCATCGACCCAGTTCAAAGGAAATTCCAAAGGTATTTTAACTCTCTTATTGTTGGCCTACAAAGCACACTTCAATTCTAACTGCTGAAAAGAATAAGTTATTTTATTTAGCACTAATAGTAAATGTATGTAAGGAATTTTATATTTTAATATAAGTATAGTGATAACTAAATAATGTCAAGAAGTAAGAAAAAGGTTTTGTATTCCTGAATCTTTTTGAAAGAGGAATCAAACAAAGTGAAAGACCAGTGTGATACATGTACAGGCCTTTTCACCTTTTCTCTTGTATACACCTACTCACTGTTCAAACATTGGATCGAGCAAGGTGGTTTGATCTTATTGCAGTACAGAAAGAAAAACACAAAGAGCACAAGCATTAATCACATACCATTTATGAAACCTTCTGCACATGTATGGAATGTGAGTCAGCTTACTAACAGAAAGCTTCATGCTTCAGTTCCTTGTAGCCTTCCACCTACATCTTCTGTCTCAGCAGCTGCAGACTGTGATTCACTTTCTGTTCTGCGTCATTATTATAGCAGTGCTTTTTATTGCTCTAGTGAGCTTCCCAGAACTCTGAAATGCTGTGAAGTATACTTAAAATAATAAAGGATCAAATCAGCGTAGGCATTTTTGAGTCTGGTGGTTGTCATCTTGCTGAAATAATCGGGACAGGTTCATGAGAAAGTTTTGTCGTATCCTCCATCTTCAGTGCAGTGGAAAAGAAATAACTAGAAAGTTAGAAACCGATTGTCTTCAAGCTTTTCATTATAGAACAGGATTCAATATGCAAGAAAGAAAATAAAATTTTAAACAGAAAAAGGTGACACGTTTCTTAATAAAGCACAGAAAATGAGAATATGACAAAAAATACAGGAAGAGGTTTGGTTGGCTGCTGTAAGGTTAAATGGCCAGAAAAAAAAGATGACTTAACAATTTATGCCAATTTAGAGCATCACAAATGGCTCAACCGAGTTCCTCAGCAGGTTCAAGAAACAGGATAATGAATTCTAGTGCTGCATCTTAAAGACCATGAAGGTAAACTAAAATTTTCTACTGTAGGATTTTGGCTGTATGAATGTCAGATGAGTTGTGTAAATGCACAGAACTGTTTAAAAAAAAAAAATGCCAAGAGATGTAGTGAGTGAAGAAGGTTTGAAAAAGGGGCAGAAAGGCTCCCATTGGGTTTTAAAAGGCATAATCTAACTGGGGAATGTCTGCAAATGAACAAATGCTGGTTATGATTGAGGTTTTGAGTGGAAAGCCTAAAAGTCATTTTTCTCGGCAGGGTAGCATCAGTAACAATTCCCTTTGAGCTTATCCATCTTGTGAAGTAAGTGGCTGTCATTTGCTCATTGAGTGAAAGAAAAAAGAAAGCTTATTGGAGGTTTGAATAAGAAAGTCAAGTGTTTCAGTGCTGCTAGGATGATTAAGCATCTTTGGATCTGTGAAGGGCATTAATGACTGCCCTTGCCTTCACCTACCTGAGTCAGCATCTCTTGTGGGACACAGGTGCCAGTGCTTACAAGTGAAGCAGGCATGAGAACTCACAGATTTGAAATGTGCATGGAATTAGGTGGAGGTACAGCCCTCAAGCAAGCAAGGAAGAAAGACTTAAGGTGCAATTCTGAGATGGACTTAATGACCAAAGGGGACACTGTGTCACTTTAGGCATGTTTCCTACTTTCTCTTCATCAGGAGTGAGCAAATGCAACTCACTTCTTGCCCACAGAAACACAAGCCACATAGGGAAGAGGTAGCTGGTGAGTCCTGGATCAACTCAAAGCCTTAGAGTAAGGAAAATGCCTGTTGTGTCTTTTTTATTTATACTGTAGCCAAGGAGATGAGCGCTGCTTACTGAGCAGGGTGCCACTGAGAGCACACCTGGCTTGTATTTCTCATTTCTCACTGTGAAAACAAAATATCACAAGGATAGAAATACTAGCTAAAATGTCATGTCACTGTCTAGCAGGTACTTAATGAATCTCTTTGTGATTATCGTCACCACAGATGTGTTTTCCTCATTATCACATGCTCCTGTGGACATAGGGTAATTAGAAATCTCACTTCCCAGTTTGCTGTTCTCATACAAGCCAATACCACATTTGCACTCAGAATTCTATAAATATGTTTTAGAGGTGAATTGAAAGTATAACCATCTGCCTTGCATGGGAATTAGTTGTGCTGCTTTCTTTTTTGTTCCTTAAAACACTGGTGCACTGGCATATGAAGTTCTTTTGAGGCTTTAAGGATCTGTAGTTTGAAGTAAAAACTGGAGAAACAGCTCATCATATCTGTGCTATTGCAATGTTCAGTTGTGTGGACTGGTCCTGCAGAAACAGCTTGAAAGCTAATGGCAAAAGCACAGGATCCACCTGCTGTGAGGACAGTCAGACTGACTGTGCCATTCACATCAACTGTGTGGCAGACTGCCTGAATGAAGAGGCTCCCTCTTCAAAATCCTGTTTCTCCTTTTTCATACAAAGGTGTGCCCTCCTATAAAACAGAGAAATCCTCCTTGGACTTCATTCATCTTTCACCTTTGTGTTTTCCTCTGGGGCAGATAGGGAAGAGGGTTGAAAACTGAAGATTACATGGGCAGTGTTGTGAATTTAAGACGTTTCTATGCCAGCATCTTATGATCTGTACAGACACAGAAGAAGCTGCAGGTGTGTGGCATTCTTGGTTGAGATATTATGAATCTTGAGCACCTATATTACTGCACCTATAGTAGCAGTAACAACTTCCCTCAATTTTGCTGGCTGTTAGATGTCAGCAGAAACTTCAGCACACCCCAGATGGTGGCAGATGATGTACTGTACTTTTCCAGGATGCTCTTGATTTTATATCCCAACAGAGCCCTTCCTAGTGCCAGCTTCCATTTTCTTATTGACAGCTGGAACGCAGGGAAGTAGGGGAAGTAACATTAAAGATTAGAGCCACTGTTTTTAACGTGGAACATCTTAATCTATCTTTGCATTCAATTCTCCATAGCAACCTGGAAAAGTCCCTTGATAGTCCAGGTTATAAGACTGTAGTTCTTATAAGCTAGTGGTTGTGACTGTCCTTTCAATTAACTGTCCCTTTTTTAAGCAATGTGATACAGAACTTTTGCTGTAAATACATCTGAGAGAGCCCTGCCTTGGCACACTGTGAAGGGAGTTGAGTACGTATGCACCACTTTTATAAATGTCTCCTGGAGAGTAGAAGAGAGTTCAGAACGGCTTAATAAAGCACCAGCCTCCTGTGAGTTGTTCACATGCAGTTGTGTGAAAAGAAAAATGGCACGTACACAATGTCCTTTCATGCTCTGCAGTTCAACTAATTCTGTACCGACTTTTAGCCAGCCCTACCTGAGAGACGAAGAGACTCAGACTGAAAAATGCCCTACATCCTGTCATTTTTGAAGTCCAGATGTTGTTTTTTTCTCTTTTTCCCTTTCTAAAATGTGAGAGTGCTGGGGAAAAAAATATATATATCAGGATCTTTCTGACAGGTTTCTGTATTTTGCTCACTGCTGGAGCACTGGGTGCCCCAGATCAGCAGCAGTGCGTGGTTCGAGGTGCCCAGCAGTGCTCCCCACTGCTCTGCTGGGCTGGTGGGGCTCTCTGAAGCAGGACAGCGTATTTCTAACAGCCAAGTCACACAAAAAACTCCAGATTTGAGGTGTTGTTTGGTTTGTTTTAGGCCTCAGGCTGGAAGTCTGTGGAGTGATGCTCTTTGTGCTTTTCGTCCTGTCCTTTGGTTTCCAAATTCTTACACAGCTGCGGCAGACTAGTTGTGGGGTGAACAAGTTTTTGTAGTCAGAGTATTTTTAGGATGACGCATTGTGATGAGCTACATTTATCTCTTCCTAATAAAGTATACTAGGCTTTTTTGGCAAACGAATAGCAGTAATAATCCCATTTTCTAGCTTCGTCTGTTCTGTTTCACTGATTTACCAGACGCTGTCCAGACTCCACTTCAATTTTCAAGGACATTAGTAATTTTTAGATGGAAAAATACCCAAAAACCATGCCACTTGCAAGTACCCTGGACAGAAGAACAATTCTGCACTGGCATGGAGATCTGTCAGGTGGCTTAATGAGCTCTCTGTGTCTTTAAAAGCTGTATTTTTTCTAAATGAGCTTTTTCTGTGACTGTACCTGCAAACTTCTGTAGAGTTTGTCCTTATCTAATGTAGTTCTGATGCAAATAGAAAAAGTGGATTACTCAGAGGAAAGGGATTCTGCATTCTACATTTCACAAATAAATTTTTGGTCTTCTCTTGCTTCTGTGCTGCTCCTTGGTCTGGAAGGTAATAAAAGCATCAGAAGAAACATAAAGTTGTGTAGGACTGCTCAAATAAAGATAATTCCCCTTTTAAACTGTTCAGAGTTAGGAGTAGTCTAGATACACATCTGGAGCCAAACTCTGGGGCTTAGATCTGCTGTTATCTGCAATATCTCAAACCAGAGTAAGACTCCAGAACTTTCATGGAAGTTTGTTTACAGCTGAAGCTGCAGCTGATGTCTAATCCCGTGTCCTCTGAGTCAGTGGCAGAAAACACACCAACTTCAAAGGGTGAAGATTTCATACATGAACTCCATGGCTCTGAGCCATTTCTAATCAAAGAAACAAAACCCACCAGAACACCAGCCGGCTTATACAACATTCTCCAAAGAGCTGTCTTGATGCAGTGAAGCACATGAAAATGTGCTTAACCTTAGTATAACTTTGAACTTTTGAATGTAAGTTTCAGGATTCAAAACGAAGTATGAACTGTTTGGTACTGAAATAGTTGTGGGGCTTTTCCCTCTTTATGATCTTTTTGTTTTTATTTCTTGCATTTTGTTTTGTTAGTTTAACTAATTCAGTTTTTATTATGAAGCACAAGGAATGGAGCACCTAGCTTCGAAGGCATTTTGTATTGCTGAGTGCTTGATTTGGGGTGCAGCCAGCTTGACCAATATCTGCCATCTCAGCCACCTTCACCGTTCCCCCAACTGGGGCTCTGCTTTACTTGCTTTGCAGAAATTATGTTGCAGAAGATGACTTGTTATTGTGGATTTGCTGCTGTGTTAAGCTTAATGGGCAAATGGGCCATATTTGAACACAACTAGCTTTGCACTGTGGTCCTCCGAAAGTTTTTGTGGTGGACTGTCATGTAAGTTGATGTGTTTCTCCTGTATATGGAGGCTTTGAAAACTGAAAGGTGCTGTCTGTACCTGTGGTTTCTCATCCTTGGAATCAATGAGTAAGCCAAAGGAAGAGCTGTAAGAAAAATCCTATTATTTGCTTCAGCTCTAAAGTAAATAGGGCAATGAAACATGAACTTATGTTCCTGCTGTGCTGTTTTGTTTCCTGTCAGGATGAGGATGAAGGGACTGAAGAAGAAAGGAATGGAGTTCTGGCAGCAGTTGCTAACAGTTGCAGTGCTTCTGACACCACGAACAAAATTGATTCAGACAAGGGCAGCAAAACCAGCATCAATGGCAAAAAGGAGAGAAATAAGCACAGTGGGTGTAGCTCGCCAATGTCCATAATGAAAAGTCTTTTCTGTATCTTTGATTGTTTCCATGTTAAAAATCCTTACCGCATAGACAACTACGCCAGATTTTCTTTTCCATTATCATTCATCATAATTAATGTATTTTATTGGGTATATTATTTGTATTTCTAAATCTTTTGAGGTGTAAAACTGTCATGGCTCAATATCTAGACAGGAGATATGGTTGGTGAAGTTACAGAAGAAGGAGGAAGCTGCCTTAGGGAAAAGGGATGTTGGTGGACATGCTCTTTTCAAGCTTTTATGCCAAGTCTCATTAACTATCTTTTCTGCTGTTAAATGACTGTCATCTGAAATTGACTTTCCTTTTAGCATGCATATCCCATATTACACTATTTGTCAGTGGCCACAGTGTCCTTTTTTAATATTTTAATGGCCAACTTTGTAAAATAAAAGTTATACAGCATTTGCTTCTGAACTGTATTGAATATATTTAAAAATAAAGATGATGAAGTGTTGTTTTCCTGCTGTACTTTCAGTATTCAATTCCCTCTTACTCTCTCAGTAATCAGTAATTTTTTCAGATTATGTAAGAGAATTAATTATGGATTAAAGTATTTTTGTTCCCTTGTAAGAAAGTTTTGAAGATGTGGGCTACCACCACCACCCTAGTAACATGTGCAGCTTTGTAAGGTCACAAATACGTACCAAGACCTATTCTTTATACAGGCCTCCCTTAGGTTCAGTAGCTTTTCTGCACAGGTGCATGGCAGAACATAGAAATGGACTGGAGATGAAAAAAATAATCACATCCAGACAGGTTTATTTCCAAGTGAGGGCATAGGTGCTGGCCGGTCCTTAGTGGAATACGGCTGTTTGTGCTATGCACTTCCCACACAACTGCTTAGGTAGCTATTTGCATAAAGATGAAAAGGTGTACTTCCTAAAGTCACTGAAAAACCTCTGGATATACAACAGTTCATGATGAGGAGATGGAAGGTTTTACACAGATGAAATAGTGAGTTTGATTTGCCCTCACAGCAAAATCTATGGAAGTATATAATCACTGCACACTGGTATACAAATAGTAGATTTTAACCTATTCAGGCATCTTCTCTGTTGTTTGTGCAAATATCCTGTCATATTTTCAGGCCACTTGAGGCGAATGTACAACAAAGGACACACGAAGTAGGTGAAGGGGAGTGGCAGTGCCAACTGATGATGCCTCTTCGTGTAGTTTACTTGAAGATGCTGAAGATGCTTTGCTTTTTGTGCACCAGAAGGCAGTGCCAGTCCAGTGGATCAGCTTCCTTCCTCTATGAAACACCTGCAGGCCAGGACTTTTGGCATAGCAGCTGTTTCATAGGTGTTTGATGCTAGGAAAGCATGTTTGACCTTAATATACTTTTTGGTCTTTCCTTTCTTAACAGAGAAGTGTATCTGTTCTGAAAATAAGATCCTTTGCAGCATTATTTCTTTCATTATCATAAAGAATCTTTTGGAGATTTAAGCATCTGAAGGTATTAGTCCTTGATAATTTTTCATTTTCTCAATTATTTGGTGTAATTCCCTTAGCCAGCAATGTCATAGGTGACTATAGCATGCTGCCTGCTTAGTAGGGTGATGCTTGGGATGTTAGGAGAGTATCTGAAATATTCCACCTAAATCAAAAGGGAAATACTGAAAAAGATGACATTTTACAATAGGCACTTGCTAACTCTATCATAAGTGAAAAAGGCACTTCATATGAATATCAGAATATTTATTTTTAAATGTTTTTAAGCAATTTAATGCCCCATTTGAATGCTCCAGTCAACACATATGGCAGCAGAAGTTAAGGGCATCCATCTGCTGATTTGAGTCCTATTTTCAGCACCACGGTTGCCTTTATTATCACTGCAGCAGGAACCTACATAACTCCCTTCCTTTTGTTGCAAGTCTCTTCATTGTTTGTGCTAATTACGTTAAGAGGAATGTTATGTCTTTTGGCATGGGAAAATATATTAGAAGAAAGTAAGTCCCGCATTTTCACCCTATAATTCAAAAGTAAACGAAACATAAAATCAGTGGTTAAAGAAAAAATACATCATAGTAGAAGAAGAAACAGATGTAGCCCTTCTGCTTTCTACTAATGGCTCTTGAGGAGAGGCTACTGAAGGGCTGACACTGCTGGTACAATTCACTTCCTGCAGCAGTAGATGGAGCTAATTAACTACTCTTCATGATTGAATGAGCAAATGTAAATGGCAAGTTCTAGTGAAGGAGGACTCCAGAGGAAAGCTATTACAAGCTGACATTTGTAGAATGGTAACTAGGTCATGTTTACAGTGACAGATTAATTAAAATCAGACAAAACAGCATTGTGAGGTGCGCTGTTGAGGACTCACTGCTGTTTTGTTTTTTTTTCATTAAAGGTCAGGCTTCTCAAGCCTAGACTGCTGTTTCCATCATTTTAGCTACCTAATCATTATCATATTCTGCCAGTCTGCAAATGTAACATCAGGACCACAGTACCTTGTGTTTGATGCATGACTTTCCTGTTCATACGTCCAGGTTTTCTCCTGCAGGTTATAATGTTTCAAATCATAGTATTGTGGTATCTGAGTATTTCAAGGTAGGCAGATCAGTAACAGTAACAATGGTTTTCTTGTAAATTTTTATAAATCCGAAATAAATATTCCCAGGCAGTTCTCTGTCATGCTGCATACAGTTGATACAAGGATAAAATTAATCTTAAAATGAAGATTAAACCTATTGGAAAAGTTTTTCTTGTAGATAGAGTTTGCTGAAATGTGGGAAACTGAACTGGGGAGCTTCTCCCTGCCTGAATGCTGAAGGCTGGGCTGGCCTCTGCAGGGACCTCTGAGTCTTGACAACACTTACAGCTGATAGGCTTGACATGATTTCGGAGTCCATAATGAAATTGCCCTTACTTGTTATGTAAGTTCATAATTAAAACCAAGGGTCCACATGAATCACATTTCCAGTCTTAGCTCTTTATCAGTCTCCATCAGGAGGTGTCTTTTCTTCCATCATAGTCAAGCTTTCCATTCTCAGACAGAGAAGGGCAAAGGAGCATTTGAGGATGTTTTGCTCCAATGTAATGAAATTCTGGCATTTTTTTTTTTTCAAACTGGAATGGACCCCATTTTCCCATTCAAATGCAGCCAAAACTTTAGAAGACAAAAAACTGTAAGACTTCAGCACCATCACGTGCACACAACCACACCTGATTCCTTTTCAAGCTCTGCTTTGCATTTACATTTAATTCAAATTTAACAGCTGGATGACTTCATCTGTATTGCAGAAGCAGCTGTACTGCTGTTGCTTTTCTTGCTATAGCAGGTAACTGATTTGGGAACCAGGAAAGATTTGATACCAGTATTATTTGATTTCTCAGAAAGTAGAGGAATGTCTCTGGTTTAAAGGCAGGTCAGGAATGGATCCAGAATCTCACAGCAGTAGCTCTAGCTGAAGGTTAACTGTCTTGGAAGAAGAACAAGCAAAGTCAGGAAAAAAAGAAAACCTGAATGAAAATTTATAATAGATTTCAAACTTGAACCACAAATTGACATTCGCAGCTTGTATGCCCCTAACTCTGATGCTGATGTTAATGATGTCGCTATAAGGAGCATTCATTGTATTTCAGAAGCAATACCACACTTGTGGGATTTGACAACATGGGGAAAGCTGGCGTTGCATCCGTTGACATAGACATACCTTTGGAAAATGCAAAAAAAAAAAAGAGATAATCTCCTCTTTTCCCATTGTTAAACCAACGATCTCCCTGCTGAGGACCCTGTATGATTCCAAGAAGAATGGCCTCATGACCAAATGTTCTGTGTTTTGTCCACACAACCACTCACTGTCTCTCCTTATCTGTTCTTTTGACCATGAAAGAAGGAATGAACAAGAATCATTTAACAGTGCATTAAGGGAACCTTCTGTACATTTAACGGCATTTAAATGCTAATCCATTAGACTCATTCACTGAACTGTGCTATACTTGTGGCTAATTCAGTCCCAATCAAAGCGATCACTACTTGCAGCAGTATGGTTTTGTTGATATTTAACGAATACAGCTGCCTTTTCCTGAGGACTTTTCCTTTCTTGTGAAGAAAAGTAGACCTACAGGAGCAGCTTCCACCCTTGTATTATCTACAAGTTGGTAGTAGGGATCTGATTCAATCCTTGCTATAGTTCTTTAAGGTTTACACTGACAATGCATTTCTGACAAGTACTGACATTCTTGGCCTCTACAAACGATATAATCCTCAAAATAATAACGTAGCAGATTAAGGTATGTGTGTAGCTAAATATAAGCTAAATGTTCTCAATGTCTTTCATGGAACGATGAATAAGAGAGATTGAATGTATTTTCATCATTTTTTCCCATCATTCTTTATCACCTTTGTATAACTGCTGTGCTCAAGTACTATTCTCAGTACTTTTTGACATTCTTTTGTATTGAAAAATTCTGGGATCCTTCTCTGTTTTCTCTGAAAGTAAAATATGAAGTTCAGCATGTGGATACTCTAAAGAATTTGAAGTCTGAGGTTTCTTATATTGTAGGATAATTTCAATTATTAATTAATGTCTAATAAATAAACCTTTTCACACACTACTGGTCCAACTTTTTACTAAGCCTGATAACTAAGATAACTCCAGAGATAACTCTAGAGATTTCCAGATACTTCTGTAGACGCTCCCATGTGGATACCAGATACTTTGCAGACTGTACCATTTTAAACCACATAAGCCCACAGGTGCTACAGTCTTATTCCAGGTGAGAAAAAAAAAAAGGCCAAGCTCAAAAATGCAGACTTCTTGTTCTGTAACTATTACTTGCCAGCACATTCCAGCTGCTGCCTAAAGCCTCACTTAGGCTTTTTGAAAATGAGGAAATACAATGTCTATAATGCTAGAGATTTTCTGCAGATGATCAGTCCCTGTATGTACCACCAATCAAAAATATTCTAAGACACCAAAGGGAAGAGGCAAATCCATTATTTCTACCCTAATATCCTAATTTCTCACTCATCACTTCTGATGCAGTGATGTCAAAGTTGCATTTGCTTTGGGTTGCCATGAATTACCTTGGAGTATTTGGATGGTTTCACACCTTTGTTTCTATAACCCAGCTATAGTGTACCTTTTCTGTGAGCAAGTGCACATACTGTGCCAACCTGAATTTCTTTTATGTCACATTGCTTGAAATAACATGGAACCAAAAGCCTGCTTCAGTATCTTTTATATCTCTGCAGATATTTCTATTCTAGTTTTAGTATTTCCCTTTCCTGAAGGTCCTACATTGTTTTTGATAATGTCAGGTCTCCAGATGCACTGTTGTTCTGCATGAAAGATGACAGAAGGACAAGCCAAAATCATCAATTTTAATGATATTTCAACGCCATCCTTGTCTTGTGTCATTCCTGTGTATGTTGCAGCCATCAATCTAT